AAAGATTAAGATAGGCCCAGATAAACCCAAGCTGAGAGAGTTTACCACAGTGGACTGCCCTGTAAGAAATGCTCTGCAGGTTGAAATGAAAGGATCTTACACAGTAAATTAATTGTATAGTATAGATCTCAATAAAGTAAACATATGAGCAATTATAAAAGCAAGTGTTATTATAAAAATGGCTTGTAATTCCATTTTGTGCTTTCTGTAAGACTTAATAGATCGGTGCATTATAAAAAAGCAGTTACTAGGGGCTGAGGCTGTAGCTCAGTGATAAAGCACTTGCTTCGCATGTGTGAGGCACTGAGTTCGATCCTCAGCACCACATAAAAATAAAGATATATGTACAATTAAAAAATATACATAAAAATATTAAAGATAAAAGCGGATACTAGCCTTATTATAATTTTCACTTGTAATTCTCCACTTTTTCTATGTAGTTTAAGAGACTAATGCATTTAAAAGAATTAGTTTTTGTTTTGGTATGTACAGTGTATAAGGATGTACTTTTGTGAAAACCATCAAAAGGGGCAGGACTAAGAACTGTAGCGGAGTTTTCATTGTTTTATTGTAGTGAAGCTGGTATAAATTCAAAGTAGAGTGTAAAAATTCTAGAATGTCAAATGTAATCCCCACAGTAATGACAAATAAAATAGTCATAGATACATACAAGAGAAAATATAGATTTAAACATTTCAGTTTTAAAAAGTCAACTAAAGGCAAATGAAGACACTAAGTGCATCCTTAGCAGTAGCTAATTTAATTGTAAACAGATTAAGCACTCTAATCGTAAGACAGATTGGCAGAATGCATAAAAATCACATGATCCTATTATATGTTCTCTACAGGAAAAACACTTTAGATACAAAGACACAAATATATCAAAAGTGAAAGGATGGGGAAAAATGTTCTATGCAAACAAGAACCAAAAGACAATAAATGTGGATATACTAATACCAGATGAAAATGAGTTTTAAATCAAAAGCTTTCAAGAAACAAGGAAGGATGCCATCTGTTAGTAAAAGCTTTAAGACGGCAAGAGTATAATAATTATAGCTAGGGACCATGGCTATACCTGTACTTCCAGTGAATTGGGAGACTGAGGTAGGAGGATTTCAAGTTCCAGGCCAACCGGGGCAACTTAGCAAGATTGAAAAGTAAAAAGTATAGTAAATAAAAACATTTGAGTACCTAATGATAAATCTTCCAAATATATGAAGCAAGAATTGACAGAATTGGAGAGGGAAATAGACACTTTTACAGTGGTAGTTGTAGATTTCAGTACTTACTATGAGTAATGGATCGTGCAGCCACACAGAACGTGGCACCATGAACTCACTAGATCTGCAGACATACATGTAGCCCTCTTCCCACAGCAACAGGATATACAGGCCTCACTAGGGCCCATGGAATTTCTTCTAGGACGGACCATGCTTAGGCTGCAGATTAAGTCTCATTAGATTTAAGAAAATAGAGATTGAAAGCTTATTATTAATCTACTGCAATCAAGACAGTATGGTATTGGAATACAGGCAGATGTGGATCAGTGGAGTAGAATAGAGAGCTCAGAAATAAACCCACCACATCATTAATTTTTGGCAAGGTTGTCAAGACCATTTCATGGGGGAAAGGACAGCTTCCCAAGGAACAGTCCTGAGAAAACTGGAAATCCACACGCAGAAGCAAGAAGGCGGGCCCTGTCTCACCTGCATATAAAGACTATCCCAGGACAGCAGGGCCTGAAGGCGAGACCTGAAACTTCCTTCTGAGTTCACTGAGAAGGAAACAACAGGGACAACTTCAAAGCGTGGGATCTCGCAGTGACTTCTTGGATATGACGCCAAAAGCACTGGCAGCATGAGAACTAGACAAGTTGCACTTTGTACGAATTTAAAAAGTTCCACGTGTCAAAAGGTAACTGCCTATGTACTGATTTGATTCCTTACTCCTAACAGTAAAAGGCCATTCCACAGAACAGGATGAAACATCTGGAACCTTATGTGTGACAAGGACTACTCTCCAGATGGTAAAAAGAAGCCCTGCAACTCCCTGGCAACAAAAGAGCAGAAAACCTGACTCAAAAATGGGCAAGGGACTTGAGCAGAAGTCTCTTCAAGGAGATGTGCAGACGGCCAATAGGCAGAAAGAGATGCCCAACGTGACTACTCATGAGGGAAATGAAAACCAAGACTACCATGAGATGCCACCTCCACCCACCAGGACGGCTCCCATCCAGGCAAGACACCAGAAGAGCGTGTGTTGGAGAGCGTGTGCACTGTTGCTGGGAGTGAAAAGCCACACAGCCGCTGAGGGAAAACTAAATGTTGAATCACCACATGATCCAGCAGTTCCACTCTGGATATACCCCGAGGAACTGAAGACAGGGTCTTCAGTGTGTCACAGCATTATCACCAGAGCCAAACGGTGGAAGCAGCCAGAGCACCGGCGCCCTTTGGTGGGTGAAGGGAGCAGCAGAGTGTGGCCCGTCCACAGGGGTGGAACACTGCTCAGCTTCACAAAGGAAGGGTGCTCTGCAGCGCGAACTGAGGCCATCAGGCACCAGAGCACAAGTACTCTGGTGACTCCACTCCCCTGACGTCCCTTACCCGGAGTAGCTGAAATCACAGAAAGTAGAATGGGGGGTGCTGGTGGCTGGGGAGGGGAGGGGGGAATATGCATTGTTTGGGACACACTGTAAAGAGTGGATGGTGGTGAAGGCTGTGCAGAAGTGTGAGCAAGCTTAGTGCCACCAGGTTGTTCACTTAGAGCTGATGAGGTAGCCAATGTTATGATACACCACAAAAGTAGAAGTGGGTGGGAGAACTTATATCATTCAGCTTGAATCTCCACCCTAAACAGAAATTAGGGATTATTTTTTATCCAGCGCTCCCACTGCACCATGTAGTCCTTCACCTCTGAGCACTCCCAGAGAGGAGTGAGTGTGGGGTGCTGGACTCTCTGGAGGCAGGTAGAGCCCAGAATGGCCTGGACTCACCATGGGAGCCCATGGACAAGTAGGAAGGAGGAAGGTGGCTCTGCCTGGTAGGGCATGGGCTGTGAGTCCTTCCCCCAGGATGATGGGCAGTCCGGCTCTTCTCCTGAGACTTAAAGGAAAAAGTCAATTTCAGGCTGCAGAAGCAGCTGTAGAGGTTTTGGGGGAGCCTCTTCTCTGTGTGTTTGCTCTTTCCCGCCAAGCCTGTCTTCTTCCTGAAGCATGCTGGCTGTACCCCAGCAGCCCAGCCTCGTGGTGCAGCAGCTGGGCGGCCTCCCCATCCCTCCCCACTTCATGGGTGTCTCCTTGCTTACCTGTGTGTGGATGTACCTCCCAGAGCATCCTGAAAAGTCATCAGTTCTGTGAGTTCTTTCCCTGGGCTCTTGATCTGATGCTCCTTGTGCTCTGGTCCTGTCTAAAGCAGTCTGGACTTCAGATCTCTTCCCAAGGGTCCCTTGAGCCCCTTCAGATCCTAAATGCTAACCTTTCCTGAGCTTCTTTCTTGGCCCTGACCTTTCTGGATCTTTGGGCCTGGACCCCCAAGCTGGACACTCTGAAGCCCCTGCTGTACCAAGGTTGCCCCCTTGTTGTACTTCAGTTTCCTCTTTGGGAATGTTGACGTGCTCAGTAGATCCTTCATTTCCAGAGGTTCTTTGCAGACATTTCTGTGCTGCTCTGGGGCAGTGAGTTCTGTTCTTCCCACCATGTGTTTCACCTGCCATTTGAGGAAGGCCCTCAGATGTCCTCATACGCTCCTTCCAGTCGACTTTGATTCCCAGGCATCTTTTTCTCCCTTTTTCTCACGCTGAAGTCATCTTGGGAGTCGGCAAACTCTTCCTAGGGACAGGTGGTTTGGACTTTTGAGGCAGTAAGGTCTCCGTCCTGGCATTCACTGTTGTAGCTCGTCAGCTATCACAGACTATGAAGAGCCAGCCTGACTGAAACAGTGACAGCCTGGTCTGTTATGATGGGCTACTGTAGTCCATTAAGAAAAAACCCTAGTGAGGAAGTATATAGAGTTGGCTCTTGGTATTCATGAGGGATTGGTTCCAGGAACCTTGCCTCCCTGGTGGGAACCAGAGTCCATGTTGTTCAAGGCCCTGGGATAAGGTGACACAGTTTTTGTGTGTGACCTCTGCACATTCTTTCATACAGTGTGTCATCTCTAGGTGAATTTTAGTGCCTGATGCAATGAGAATGCTGTCTGTATTTGTTTGGCTGTCTCTTAGTGAATTGTGACAAGAGAAAAGTTCTACATCTTCAGTATAACAAAATTTTTACATGTACACACACAGACACATATATTGCAAAGAATCTTGTATGAAATACTTTGACCTGGAGCTGTGTTTAGAAGGGTTTCTGGGGTCCCTGAGCCCCCACTCCATTTCCTTAGCTGTTAACCTCTTGCTTGAAAACCACTGCCCAGGCCCCAGAGTTGTCTATAGGTGGTGATGTTGCTCTAGGGCCCTTCTTTCCCTCTTGTTCTGGGGTTGTTGGGGGTGGGTCCCAGTGAGGTCCAGAGCTTTAGGGATGATACCTGCTTCTCACTGTGGGAAAGGTCTTAGCATTGTAGGAAGACTGGCCTGGCCTGGCCCAGTGATGGGTTGTGAGATTGAGGCTCTTCTCAGTCCTGTGCTCTTCCTGCTGCACACACTGTTCCTGATGGGCATTTGATGGAGGGGCAGGACCTAGGGGTAGACTGTAGGAGTGTCTCAGGATCCTGCTTCTAGTGGCTAGTGGTTTCCTTCCTGCAAGGTGGGATGGCAGTGTCTGCTCAGGGTTTCATTCTGAAGGAAACCTGATCTGGAAAGTGCTTTGCCTTTCTCTGCAATTTATAACAAGTAGGGACAAGTCATCCTGTTTCAGTCCATAAGAAGTGTGCCTGGTGCCATGGGATTTGCTGCTGACTGTGGTAATCAGATTTTATAAACTGTCTCCTACCTCTAAAAACATTTGAATGGTATTTCTTTTCCTCTTTTGTCCCCTTTTGACTTTTTTTTTTTTTTAGCTTGCTTGCCTTTTGTTTTAGCAGCTGCAGTATCTCGGAAGAAAAAACGAAGGATGGGAACCTACAGCCTGGTTCCTAAGAAAAAGACCAAAGTCTTAAAGCAGAGGACGGTGATTGAGATGTTTAAGAGTCTAACTCATTCCACTGTGGGCTCCAAGGTAAGAGGGACGTGTGTGCTGAGTACCGTAAGTGCTTGAATTTGTACCTCTGTGCAGGGCTTCCTTGGCCAAGGAGCATCCTGTGAGGTTGTCAGTAATTTGCATGACCTTCCCTTGATCCCTCTGCTGTAGGGCACAGCTTCTATGCCTAGGTGGGTTGTTGAAGACCCACCTTCCTCCTTCTTCTCACCCTGACTCCCACCAGCCAGGCTTTAGGCACTGGGCATCACCGTTGTATCCCTGGCCCAGCAGGTCTTTCCACTCCCATGACCTAAGTCACACAGTAGGTGGGCACCACTTTTGGGTCCTTGGCCCAGCAGGTTCTTCGTCTCCCATCATCTGAGGTGCATAATGGGTGGATACCACTCCTGCGTCCCTGGCCCAGTTTGTTGTTCTTCATTTCCTGTCACCTGAGGTACACCATGAGTGGGCACCACTGCCGTGTCCATCCTGGCCCAGCAGGCCCTCCATCTCCCATGATTACTGAGGCTCATGTGGGAGCTGACAGGCCTGTTGGTGACTGCTGCGGTTGTCCTTGAGCACTGTACATCTGTGTGTTCCAGGGTGAAAAGGCCTTGGGCGACAGCAACCTTCATGTGAATGGAGAGAGCTTGGAGATGGACTCAGAAGAGGATGACTCTGACGAGCTTGAGGAGGATGAGGACCATGGAGCCGAGCAGGCTGTTGCATTTCCCCCAGAGGATAGCAGGACTTCTAAAGAGAACATGTCCGAAACTGACCGGGCCCCAAAGGTAGGACCATGTTTGGGTGGTGTTGCAGATGACAGGAATCCCAGAGCTGGCCATAGGTTCCAAGAGTCAGCACTTGGGGTGCTCTGGGCCCGCATGAAATGTCCTGCATACTTTTTATTCATAAAAACTTTTTTTTTTTTTTTTTTTTTTTTTTTTTTTTTTTTTGGTACCAGAGATTGAACTCAGGGGCACTCAACCACTGAGCCACATCCCAGCCCTATTTTGTATTTTATTTAGAGACAGGGTCTCAAGTGAGTTGCTTAGTTCATTGCTGTTGGTGAGGCTGGCTTTGAACTCTCGATCCTGGCTCCTATATACTTTTGGCTTTGAGTTTTATATTTATTTCCTTGGAATTATTCATTTATTTTCATCTTAGGAATGTTTTTCTTCCTGTACAGCATCATTGACATAAAGCCTCACGAGCTTCTTCTTAAGTTCCAGGTTGGCAAGAATAACAATATCAATAATCCAGCTGGAAGCTGGGTGTAGTGGTGCACTCCTGTAATTCCAGCACCTCAGGAGGCTGAAGCAGGAGAATCACAAGTTCTAGTTGAGCCTGGGCAACTCAGCAAGATCCTATCTCAAAATAAAAAATAAAGGCTGAGAACGTAGCTTAGTGGTAGAACACCCCTGGATTCAGTCTCCAGTACTGGTGTTGGGGGCGGGTAAGATAGAAAAAGAATATAATAATCTGAAGCATTAATCAGTGACCTTCTGTGTGCCCTCAATGTCTGTTTATAATCATTTTTAGGGGGCAGGGTGGACAGTGTCTAACCAAGTTTCCTGACACTGACCCCAAATTTGTGATGCTCCTGTCTCTGTCTCCCAAGTTGCTGAAATTATGTCTGTGTACCACCATGCTCAGCAGCTGATTTTGACTGATGCCTTTTCGAGACTGGCCTCATTCTATCCTATACACTCTCCATGCTGGGGCTATCATGCTCGTGCAGGTTGAAGCCTCTGCCCTCCTTGCAGAGTGTGTATCCAAGGCTCCCTGAGCGGCCTGTGGAATGGTACATAGTTCTGCTCCTCAAGGATGTGAGGCATGCTTTCTTTATAGACCATTTATTCCAAGTCCTTTGAGGATGAGCACTGGATAGTCTTGTCTCAGCCATATTGCTCCCCTTGGTAGGCATGGCACCATTCATGAGTGCTCCTGCGGGTGATCTGTGGGTACTCCTGGGAGCAGTCTGGAATGCTTCTGGGAACTATCTGCAGGTATTCCTAGGAACCTTCTGTGGGTGCTCCAGGGAACTGTCTGGGTGCTCCAGAAAACCATCTGGGGTTACTGCTGATGCCAGCTTGGCAAGTTCTTAGAATTTGTGAGCAAGCTTTGAAGTTTAGGCATAAATTTTATGTTCTTTCAGTTCTGAGAGGGATAAGTTAGAAGTGACATGCTTACTAGGAGCAGCATTGGGAGGCTGAGAATCAGACTGCCTAAACATTAGTGGTGTATTGTTCAAATATGTCAGACTTCTTTGCAGAATCTTTAGCAGAGGTTCTCCATCTTCATTTAAGATGAAGCCTCTGTCTGGTGAATTATCCCAGGCCAGCATTAGGCATAGCATTTGCAGATGATACAGTTCAGTGACTTATTTTAGAGGTATCATTTTGTTGCTTAGCTTTGTACTCCATCAGTACCAAGCACTTTCATCTGTCAGAATTTGGGGCATGTCTTTTCTTCTTTTATTAATTAATTTACTTAGGTTTCAGGAATTGAACCCAGGGATGCTTAACCACTGAGCCACATCCCCAGCTCTTTTTATTTATTTATTTCTTTTTTTTTTTTTTTTTTTTAGAGATAGGGTCTCACTGAGTTGCTTAGGTCCTTACTAAGTTTCTGAGGCTGGCTTTGAACTTGTGATCCTCCTGCCTCAGCCTCTGAAGCTGCTGGGATTACAGACCTGCATCACTGCACCTGGTGTCCTTTCTTATTTTTACTTTAATTTTCGACTCATTTTTATGGATTATTATTATTCCTTTTTTACAGGTTTTAGGGCAAATTTAAAATGTTACTTCCGGCTCTCAATTATTCAAAAGTAAATTGGTGGAAAAAGTTAATATTAGAGATGTAAAGGGATTTTAAAAATTATTTATTGTAAAATACTTGTTGCATTTTTTTTTCCCTATAGTGAAGTATAAGGAAGGAAAAAATAGTATCATAATCCCATTGTGCGGTAGCTCTGGTGTGCTTTGTGATCCTGATCCTGACCCTGGCCAGCACTTACTCCCCTCTGCAAAGGGGTTGTGTGTAATGCACACTCCCAATTCTGTGCAGAGAAGTGTTTTCACTCCTGCCTCACACTCCATGCTGTGGATTTGACTGTGTTTCTCCTGCGCCCCCTTTTGGTATCAGGGATTGAACCCAGCCTTCTCTATGGATTTGATCATTTTCCTGTTTTAGGCAACACTTTGTTGAATGTACTTTGGAGTAATATATACTTCTAGCTGAGAGGCATGGTTTTTCTCATCTTCCCCAGCTAATCTGCGTTGTTGGAATGCTAGTGTTACATTGTTGAGAGTGAGCAGCTTCTCACACATTTGGTGGCTGTTGGCTTGTTGTTTTAGAAAACACCTGCTAGGTATGCTTTGCCCACCTTTCTGCTGGGGTGCTTATCTCTTAGAGGTACAGTCCTAGGAGCCTAAGCAAGTTTGGAGTGGTTTGTTTCCTTGGTGTCTTGTCAGTTGTCTGAGATCACAGACACTAGTCCGTTTCTTTAGGACTTTCAGGTTCTGTGTTCTAACTATGATAAACTGATCTTTTTCACTATTGGTTTTAAAAAATTGTCATAAGCTATCGTCTAATACTTTGATTTCATTCATTCTATACAAATATTTGATTCAGAATTTTATTGTGATAAAATGTGGGGTAGATACACTCAATGCAGGTGAAGTTTATGGTATATAAATTATATCTCTTTTTTTTATAAATTATATCTCAATAGAGCTTTTAGAATAAGACACAAGGTTAGGGACCCAGGGCTTCCCTCAGAATAGCTGGGCCAGAGTTTTCTCTCCATTTATTGCTTGACATTTCCTTCTCCTGCTGATTTAAAATGCCAGCTGAATTCTACACCAGATGGCATGTGAGTTTGAGTATTTCTGGATTCCATCTTTGGTTGAGGTATTTGTCTTCCAGAGAATCTAGATACTGAGTAACCCTGAGTAACTTAGGTATTGAAATGAAATTAAAAATTAAATAACTTTGAAGCTTGAACAAAAAGAACCAAGAAGAAAATATGGTCATTGGAAAGCAAGATGGCAGGAGTAAATCTCCACAGACATAATCGGTAGAAGTTTTATTGTGTAAACCCTTCCAGAGGACAAAGGCAGAATGAAGCTCTTTAGCTTGTTCTGAAGCTGACCTGTAGGCTACCTTTGCACAGGACTCAAAGTATAGGCTTGCTGAATGAACCCTGAGTCAGATGCAGTTGTGTGCTGAAATGGCAATGACCACAGAAGGCCAGGCTTCTCTCCCAGGGATATCTGTTAGCAGGAGTGACTGAGTTTGCAGGTCAGATATGTTTGAGTTTGAAAAGTATTTTAAGCCAGGTGCCAGCTAATCTGTAGGCTGAGGCAGGAAGATTGCTTGAGCCTGGGCAACATGGCAAGGCTTTGTCTCAGAATGGATAATAGCTGATAGGTTAGTAGCATTTTATTGAGTTCAGCTTTCTATTCTTTGAATTTGGGAGATTACTCTGCACCTACACATAGGACAGCTGTACCGCTGTCATTACTGAAGTGTGACATACCTGTGCGACCTCACCTAGGTCAAAACCTTGGCTCTCACCACTTCCACAGCCTCCCTGACCCTCCATAAGGGATCCCTGTCTGTGTGCTCCCACTGTAGGATTGGATTTTTTGGTTTTGTTCTTTATAAATAAAATCATATAGTATGCGTGCTTACATTTTTAAAATATGACTTATTTTATTCAATATTATTGTGTTTTGGGTTTTTATGTTGTTTGTTAATTTTTGTCATCATACAACAGTGGTCTTCCAGTTGGACTGTTGGGTTTCTGAGGCTCTGTAAGGAGATCTACAGGATCAAAACTGTTACCTCAGAATTGCTGAGATGTCTGTTCCTCCGTCTCCTTCAGGGGAGTGGCCATGTTGCTGTCTTTGCTTGGGCAGCTAATTACCTGTGTCCTTGTGGTTTGAACATTGTCAGCCTAAATTTCTACTGCAGTAAAGGTTAGTAGATGTAACCCATGTTAATAAAAGCTCTCCATAGTTCTCAGTCATTTTTTCAGAGTATGGGGTCCCAAGGCCATAGTTTTTGGGTTGTTTCCAGGGAGGGCTGTTCCATGTGGCAGTGCCAGCAGCACCCCTGTGTGTGGGTGATCCCTGGTGTACACTGGGAGTGGAGTCTGTGCTTCGTTACACCCATGACTCTGCGTGCAGGTTTCCCTGTAGGGTGGCTGCACCAGTTGGCAGTGCTGCCAACTGTCTCTGAGTGGTGAGTGTAAAGCGCTAATGCAGTATAGTTTTAATTTCACTTTCCTGATTCCCAAGAAGGTTGAGTCCTTTTTGTATGTCAACTTGCAGTTTGGATGCCTTTTTGAAATGCCTGTTCAGGTCTCAGCCATTCATCTACTGGGTCATTTGTCCTTTGAAAAAGTCATTTTGTAGGAGTTCTTTGACCTAGCAGTGAGCCTTCATATGTATAGTGGCTTGCATTTTCCCTGAAAAGTTGGTGACCTTGTCTCTTCCCTTGGATTGGACACTATTCACAAGGACTGACAGTTGGGTGCAGCCACCATTCTGGGTGCTGGTTGGGGAGAGCTGAACCTTTGCCTCTTAGGCCGAACTCATAACTGGGTCATACCCCCACAGTCATGTGTTCCTGGGTAGAGGGCTGGCAGGAGCTGACTGGTGGCTGGGCAAGGGCTAGTCCTGACCAATGAATTAAAATAAAATTCATAGTTTTTAAAAAAAATGACTCAACATGTCAGAACACTACAAAAAAGGTTATATTTAGTGGTAAAAAGTCAAAGCATTTCTGTTATCAGTTGTAAAATGAAGGTGGGATAGCTGCTTTCATCTCTTGATGTGGACACAACAGCACCAGCTGTTCTGTCTGATGCTGTAGGGAAGAGCCAGAAAGAAACATCAATATTTAAAAGGACAAGAGAAAAGAGTTTCTGGGAATGTGATCATCTTTCTGAAAGTCCTGGAAGATCAGCTGAAAACTACCATAGCTGCTGAGCTGAACTTATGTGAGCAGGATGTAAACACCTGTTTCCTTGTGTGGCTGTCACAAGCACTTAGAGAATGAAACGTCAGCATTATCAGCAAAATTGGCAAATGCCTAGAGGCACTTTTAAACTTTTCTAAGTAAAACAGTACACACATCCAAATAGTAGTGAGCAGTGACCAGCCGTGGGTCAGTCTTGTCTGTCAGTGCTTGGCAGATATGTCAGTGTGGATCTTTAAGGACCAAGACTGGGGGAGGCAAATCACAATATCAACACCTAAAATATGAGCTGTGATTGCTTCTCTCAGCTTCGTGGTGCCATGTCCTCAGCTGCTTTCCTCTGCAACACACTTCTGCCATGATGTTCTGCCTCATGCCAGGCCCCGAGGAATGCAGTCAGCCATCTGTAGACTGAGACCTCTAAAACTGTGAGCCCCCAAATAAATTTTTATCCTCTAATTGAGTCTTTTGGTCACAGCAGCGAAGAAACTGACTAAAACAAATTGGTACTGAGAAGGTGGGTTGTTTCTGTGACTAACCTGATCATGTGGTTTAGAAGCTTTTTGGACTTTACAGAATTTGGGAGGAATTTTGAAAGGTTTAGGAATGCAAGATGAGAAAATTTTGGTATGAAAAATGTTGATAACATACTTTATAAAAAAGTAAATTTTACAATAAGAAAACCAGGTCCAAGTCTGAAAATGGGCTGAGGATGGAGCATGCAAGATGCAGTAGAAGAAATAGAAAAGTACTAAGAAGTTACAGAAGACTCAGGTCCTGTTGTGTGTGGGGAAGTGAGATCTAAGCATCGGTGAGAGTCTGTTGAAAGATTGGTGGTTCCTCTTTGCGCATTGTTGGTGGAAGATCATAGTCGGGGAGGTGACCCAGAGGTTCTACATCTCTCCCATCTGTGTGTTTGTCCTGGAAGACATTGCTGATTTAGAGGGTAGGATACAGTGAAATCACCAGGCCACAGAGCATGAAGTCAGTATGCAGGAGGCCATAGCCACCTTGGGAAGTGGGTGGGCAAGAGCTGAATGTATGCCCACATGTTTTAGTGTCCACATGTTTTAGTGCCTTTGCAACAGACATGTACTGATACATGGCCAGTGTCACTCAGCTCAGTAGGAAAACAAGGTATCTCTGTTCTGATGTGAAGCTGCACGCCATGTGTGGCAGCACACTTGTTGGAAGGAGTGAGGTAGCATGGTAGTTGTGGCTCCGGGGATTGGACTAGGATATTGTCAGTGTAGACCTGATTGTGTATTATATTGTGGCCTCTTGAGAATGCTTTCACTTTTTAAGTTTTGCACCTCCCACCTAATATTTTGTTTTAGTTGTAGATGGACACAGTACCTTTATTTTATTTTTATGTGGTGCTGAGGATCGAACCCAGAGCTCCTTTTGTGCTAGGAGAGCACTCTACCTCTGAGCCACAACCCCAGCTCTTATCTTCCTTTTTATGGATACCTGCCATGTTTTGAATTCCGAGTACACAGAGAGTGTCGCCTTCCCATCATGATATGGAGACACTGCCAAGGAGCAGGAATGGAAACTCAGGCTGGATACCCCTTGGCCAAAGCCAGAGAGGCAGCCCACTTGGACAGTGGACAGACGATGGGATCTTTCCTGCGTGTGCCTCCAGCATGCCCTGCTGATGTATTTTTAAAAGTCTGTTTCCAATTCATTTGTCTGCCATTAAAGAAACTAATTGGTTTTTGTTTTTGGTTTTTTTCAACCCCCCCCACCCCCCCACCCCTCCGTCCGGCTCTTTGGCTGCTCAGATGGATGGCGAGTCAGAGGAGGAGCAGGAGTCGGCTGATACTGGGGAGGACGAGGACGGCGGAGACGAGTCTGACCTGGTAATCCAGCACATGGCCTGGCCTCTGTGTGCAGTGGAGGAGGTGCAAGAAGCGCTGTAGTTGCCCTGTTGTTTGCTGAGAGTCAGCCTGTTCTGGTACTGGGGCTTGGCACAGGCAGGCAGAGGTCCTGCTCTTGGGAGAATAGGTGAAGGGACCCACACAGTCATAATGTGGTGCCAGGCAGAGCCCAAGGGCCGTGTGGCCTTTTATGGTATAGCAATAGGCCAGGCCTGGTGTAGGCTTGTCCTGCCTGTGCAGAGTTAGTGCTGATCTCCAGGCTGAGGGGAGGGTGTGCGAGTCCACGTGCTGGTTGTCCCATGTAAGTGGTATGGCACATGGTGTGGGATCCTGCTACAGTGGCTGCTGTGAGGGTGAAGGTAGCATTTGATATGAGGTGTTGTAACAGAGCATGGACAGGACTCTGGTGGGTTAGTTGCAACACCGTGAGGGACAGGAGGGAACAGGGCTCTATTCTGCCCACAGTGAGGTCTCTTGTGCCTAGCACATAGCCAAGTGACAGAAGCAGGCCCTGAGGGTTCAGGGAGTGGAGAAGCTTAGAAATGGGGAAATGTGCTGAGGCCCTAGGATGGAGCCTCAGGAAACCCTGTGTGTGAGCACTGTGCACAGGAGGCAACAGCCCATGAGATCCTGAAGGAGGGCTCTGCTGTGGGAGAAAGCCTGGGGGTTTGGGGCACATGACCTATGAACAGCTCTGAAGAGGGAAGGAGTGGCCCACGGCATCAGCCTGCTGCCCAGTGAAGGAAATAAAACACACATAGACTGTTAGGTGTGGCATGGACATGTGTTTTTTGGGTGATGGGTGGAAGGAGCAGGATCAGGGTAGTGGCAGAGTGTAGTATTTACAGTTCTTTTGGAAACTTTGCTATGCTGGATTGCAGGGTGGAGCAAGGGCTGTTTAAAGGGAGGGACACTGGACAAGCACGGGTGTGTGCAGTCAAGATGGTCCCCAGCACAGTCCCCAGACCCTGGGGCTCCTGCACATGGCTGTGGCAGGACATGTGTCAGTCTGTCTGAATGGCTGGCATGCTGTGCAGTGTGTTTTTTCCCATGTGTTGAGCACAGCGTTCTCAAGTGTCTGCCTGTGTCCATGGGAAGGAGGGTGATGAGACCCCATGCTGCCATTGTGTCTTGTCCCTCTCTTGTGCTAGTCAGGGCTAGGAGTCTGTGCTATGTGCCAGTTGTGATTCCAGGAGGTTGAATGCCCTTCCTGCATCCAGATCTTAGGAACAGATGCTCAGGCATCTTGCTGTGTCTTTAACTGGCTTGTGACTTGGAGTCCAGGCACTCTGAGCATTGTTCCTTTTCTCATGAACAGGACGAAGGGACACGTGATGGAAAGTGTATTCTCCTACTGAGCTTATTTACTTAGTTCCTGGGTAGGATTTTCCAATCTATTCCTTTCCTTTGTGTGAAATTCAATAAGAGTTATGAGTTCCATTTTAGGTTTCTTGGCTTTTTTTGCCTCTAAAAGGACTGAGCTTGGAGAGATGTTTAGGGAACAGCATGGGTATCTTTAGAATGTGACCCAGAAGAATGTCTAGAAGTGAAGTGAATCTGCTAAAAGAAGAATCAAGACATAGCAAGTATTTTATTTTACAGGCAGACAACTCCTAGTCCTTTTTGCTCTTGAGAGCTCCCCTGCTTTGCTTCTGACGTTCCTGCCCTTTGGTCCTCCAGAGTTCTGAATCCAGCATCAAGAAGAAATTTCTCAAGAGGAGAGGAAAGACTGAGAGCCCCTGGATCAAGCCGGCTCGGAAAAGGAGGAGGAGAAGTAGAAAGAAGCCCTGTGGTGCGCTTGGTAAGCGCAGTGGCCCCTGCACCTGTGTGGGCATCTCCAGGCCAAGTGGCAGGCCTAGGGCTGGGGCTCTGCATAGGATTTTATTTGAAAGGAGGATCCACTGTTGACAAATGTTTCAAATGACCTCATCAGAGAAACTCAGTGCCCTTCACCTGGTCTTCTCTGGACAAACCTGCTGATCTTGGCTTCATTGCTGAATGCTAAGCTGAGGTGATCTTTCATTTGACACCTACACAGGGTGACTAGCAACCTGTGGCCTATAGACGTTTCCCACGCTGCTTGAAGGAGGGAGGTCTGTGATTATGTAGCCACCTGTGTGGCTGTGCCTGATCTATATGGCAGCTTCTGGCCTTGTGGCAGCACTCCTGTTCTGGCAGTGATTGTTGAGTGAATGAGGCCACAGGGTCATTGCCAAGGTCAATGTTCTTTTTTTTTTTTTTTTTTTTAAAAACTTCATTTATGTGGACTGGCATACCATAAAACATACATAGCTAAACCACTTTTTAATGAGTTAATGTGTCTACAACCGTGGAGCCCTCACCATAGCCACATTACCTGGGTTCTCTCCACCCCAGATTCCCTGTGTGCCCCGCTGCCATCAAGAACCTGTCCCTTCCCCAGGCTCTTTTCCTCTTCCCATGCACCCCAATCTGCCCTGTGCCGCTGATGCATTAGCACTTGGTAGAATTCTGTGTGAATGGAATTGCTCCGTGTGGGCTTTTTCCTTATGACTCCTTTCAGCACAATTGTTGCAGAGGGCTACTGCTGCACGTCAGTGGTCTGTCCCTGTCATTGCTGAGAAGCGTCCCACTACGTGCAAGCTGTGGCTCAACTACTGTTCTGTAGGTACACTTGGCTCTCCCAGTTTGGGCTCTCAGGGAAGCTGCAGTGGATGGTGTCTCAAATGGGTCTCGAGCAGAGGTGTGACTGGGTTGTGCTGTTTGCTCAGCTATTTTTTAAAGCACAGGTCCTACTTCACATCCTCACAAAAGTACTGGAGGGTTCCGCTCCTCTCTGTGCTTACCAGCACTTGTTAGGGTTGGTCTATTTAATTTCAGTGGTTCTAGGAGGTGTTCGGGGTGTCTCTTGACAGTTGTTTGCTTTTACTTGATGAATAATGAAGTCGCACCTTTTAGCCTTTGTTCATTTCCTTTTGTGAAGTGTGTGTGTATCTTTTGTTCTCTTTCAAAACCAGGGTGGTTTTGTTCTGAGTTGTAAAAGGTCTTTAAGATTTTAGATAGATGTCTAATCAGATGGATGTTTTGTATACATTTGTACCTAGTCTGTTTAGGGTCAGAGCAACAGTTAAAATTTTTTGTTGAAGTCTAATTTATTAATTCTTTTCTTATTCATGCTTTTCATGCATTGAGCAATCTTTGACTTAATAAAGGGTTGGTAAAGCTACATCCTTGGGTTCAATCCTCAGTACCAAGGAGAGAAAAAAAGAAGGGGGCAAAAAGATCTTTGACTAACTCAGTTCATCAGGATCTTGTCCCGCATTTTCTCATGAAGTTGTGCAGTTGAAGTACTCACAGATAGTTCTGGTGCATTTTGAGGCAATGTTTGAACATGGTGACATGAAGAGCTCAGCTCCCTCTTATGGATGGGCAGCTGATGTGCACCATCAGTCTAGATGACTTTTCTTTTGTCGAGTGCAAGTGTCTGTGTCTTTCCACGGAGGCAGAACTTCCTGAGTAACAGTGAATTCACGTGCTACCCCACTTTCATCCGTGGCAGTTCTCTGAGTGCTCCTGAGCCCGGCAGTTGCGGGTTCTTTTACTCTAACCATAACCGCTCATCTCTGTAATACTCAAGTCACACTTACACATGGCGGGATTTCTAGATTGCAGAAAGGCTGAGCAAGGATAAGGTGGCCACAGGGTTTCTGGAGGTGGCACTGAGTGAGAGCAGAGGGCAGGTGCAGAGTAGGCTGAAGAGCTTGTTCAGGGTGCAGAGCTGTCGGAGCACAGGACTGACTCTAGGCCAGGGTCCTGAAGGCAGATGCTTTCAAAGCCAGGGAGATGGAGCTGAGCTGGGGGACAGGGACAGGGAGCTGGAGATTTTCCAGTTAATGTCATGGCACATTCAGACTGGCTGGCTGATGATGGGTTGGTGCATGCCACCCTACCCAGTCTCAGGGTGCACCTCCTGCCATGGGTCTTGGGCCAGGGGGTTGCTGTGTTTGGTTTGGTGTGTTTGATGAGCGCAGGGGCCTGGTTTTTCTTTAGGGTGGTGCTGGGCAGACGGTGGCTGTTGACTTGAACAAGGTGGAGTCATTCTACTTCGACATTTAACTCAAAATGGAGCTGCTCTTGGCAAACTAGTGCTGTATAAAGTGGAGTCCTGGGAGGCCAGGCGCAGCTGTGCTGTGGAGTGCGAGTCCCTTGGAGCAGGGTGCAGCCTGCCCTATTGGGTTTCCTGGGAATATTGGTGGATATTGAATGAGGGGGCTAGTCTGGGCTTTCTACTCTGTCCCACTTACTTGTGTGTTCTCTTTGTGCCACTCCTCAGGGTTGCAGCACTTTGCTCTTTCCCCTCATTCAGCTGTGCTTGTAGCTTCCCCTGACATGCAAGAGGCTCACTGCCCCTAAGTCCCGGAGGCAGCCCTGAGGTGGGGAGGGCCATGCGGGTTTTATGGTGCTAAACTTGAGTGCCTCCCTCTGAGCTCATCTGCTCCTTCATTTGTGTTTCCTTGTTTTCACTTGGGATCATGAGAATACTGATGTGGTTTTTTATTATTGGCTGACCTACTATTTGTAGCTCCAAGAAGAAAGGTTGTTCTTGAGGGGTAGAAGTTTTGGTTTTTGTCATCTTGGCTGTGACAGGTAAAATGTATGCCTAATGTTTACTCGCACAGGAGTTGTTATATCTTTAAGTGTTTAAATTATATGAAGACTATTTATGTTCTTCAAATTGCTGATTTTTCAAAGTAGTTTACTTTTCTATCTAAGGTCTAGGATACAGAATACAATGTGAATGAAAAGTCTCTCTTTATCAGTGGTTCTTTTATTTCCACTTGATGAGGTTAGAAGCTTGTGTGAAGCATGGTCCTTCACCTCTTGCTGGTGTTAGATATCCATTGTAAACGCACACTCTTCTTAGGCTTCCCAGTGAAATGTCTGTACAGTGCCAAGTATTCAGCTTTGCGTGTCCCTCTAAGGCCTCCTGGGAAGCCGGGTCAGGCCGGCATACTCCTGCTGCCATCCTGTGTCCTCAAGGGAGAGGGGCATGTTGCAAAACCAGTGGCGCCAGCCCATCTCTGCAGTGGTCTTCCTTGGCATGCCTCGATTTTCTTGCCTTTAGTGAGAGCTTTGCTTCACAGACCTTGTGCCTGGTGGGGCTGACGCTAACCTTCCTGTGGAACTTCTGTGTGTCAGTCAGGACAATGAGCAAGCCAGAGCCTCTAGCTAGTGCCGACCCCTGTCACTCTGCACACATTGTCATCAGTTGGTCTTTCACTTGTGCCAGTTGGATTTTTCTGTCTTATTTTAAAGTAATTTATGGAATGTACACCACACTTGTATTTATTTTCTTGATTATTTAACAGTTTTTATCCACCTGGTGTAGTCACAGAGGTAACTATGATAGTATGCGAGTGCCTTGATGCAGTTTCCTTCCACATTCAGGTGGAGCCAGCTGGGGATGAGAAAAACGGCAGGCAGAGGAGAAAAGCAGTAGTGTAACTGGAGTGGCCCAGGCAGTTGGCATTGTGGTTAGGGTTGGATGGGTCTCTCAGGGTCAGCCCTGTCCTAGGGACTGGCCTCTCGCCCAGGTGCTGTCAGTGGGTGGCCGTTGCACATTCTCATGGTGTGTGCCTTCTATGTGTAGGTTCCGAGGTGTGTAAGCCATCTCCAGGAAGCTCCGAGCAGACAGCTCCGGGAGACAGCTCGGGATATATGGAAGTTTCTCTGGACTCACTGGATCTCCGTGTCAAAGGGATTCTGTCCTCCCAGTCGGAAGGTGAATGTTGATGTAGTGATAACTGCACCATCTTGCTCTTCGTTTACTGGTCTCATTCTCTGGATTAGCCCGATGCCCCCTACTGAATTTTAATAGAAAATGTGATTAAATGCATCCCTTAAAGGTGGACTGGCAGATGTTCAGAATTTGTTTGTCAGGTCACTCTCAGCACTCAAGAGTCATAGAGCATGGGAGCCCTCTTAGAATAAAGTAGTTGACACCTCATTCAAGATCAGGTTGCGAGGAGTCTAGCAGTGTTCTCTACCCTGAGCCAGACACGTTTCTTTGCAGAATCCCTAAAGAAAAGATGCCCTTCCACCCTGGCCGTGTTTCAGGACACATAGGTGACCTGACTTTGAATAATGTGCTCTGATGATCTTTGAAACCAGTGGCTGGAGCCTGCCCTCTGGCTGGCACTAAGCTAATGTCCTTAGGAGTGTCCTGCAACAAAATAAAACACCTGACACCTGTTTCCTATACCTTTGGTCCAGAGAGCAACACCTTGAAGAGACAAGCAGTGTTGCTCATGGTTCTCATGCTCTAGTGTGGAGTAGGGACACCTGAGTGGTGGCAGAGCCAGGTCTCAGGCAGGTCAGGAGGCCTCAGGAGCTGGCCAGTGGGAGCAGGAGGCCATTCAGGAGAGAATCTTTGTTTTGAGGTCAGAAATCTCTGTAGTCATTGGCTTCTTTTCTCATCCTCTTTGCTCTCAAGTGTGTTGAGGTGAGTCGGGTGGCTTATGACCTCAGCAGGTAACCAGAGCGAAGCTCAATGGGAGGGCTGGGAGCCACATCCGCTTTCTCTTAAAGGCCTGCAGTCCTTACTGCTGGGGATTGGAGTGTACTCCCAAGCCCAAGAACATGTCAGGCATGACCTGTGCTTCTTCATCTCACCTCAGCCGCCTCAGCCATGCGGGCACAGCATGGTCAGAGGACAGTTATCCAGATGCTTCTTCGTGCATTTTGCCTGTTTCCTCATTTTTAAAGCCATGTTGTTGGTCAGGATCATCTCAAAGGTGCTTAAGGTTTTAAACATACAGTGAATCCAACTTGAGCCTTATCTCACATTTCCTGATCTTTTGGGCTGTGGGTGATCCAGAGGCTGAGCTGGGAACCAGGCAGCAGGAGGTGATGTGTCCTGATCTCCTTTCTTCTCAGAGACCTGTGGTGTAGGCTGTTTCTCATTTATGGACCCCGTGCAGGGGCCTAAACTCCCTCCTGGCTGCCACCAAATCAGATTGATTACTAGTAAGCACCAGGGATAGTGAGCAGCTTCATGGGGGAAGGCACATCCTCTACTCAACATGGTACTGCTGGAGGGAAACTGAGGCAAGAACACACTTCTGAAGAGCTCGTTTGAATAGTGGAGTCCAGCAGCTATGAAGAGGGAGGGGCTCAGGACTCTGCAGAGGGAGTGCCAGGTTGAGTTATTCACTCTGTCCTTCTGGCAAGCTACTTGTGCAGCCCTTGGTTTTGGTTTCTGACCAGTGGAGCTGGAGCTTCATTTTTCTGCAGTACAGAAGTTCAGAAGACACAGCCTAGTTTCATTATGTCTGCACACTGTCAAGACCCAGGTGGCTCTGTCCCCTCAGGGATTCCTTGGGCCAGGTCTTCATTTTCATTTACTTTGACAGTTACTTGTAGACATGAGTACAAGAGTTAATTATTTTTAATAAAGGGAATAGTGTTTGAAACATTGGCCCACCTTTTAATTTCAGCTTTAACTGTCTCACAAGACAGGACAGGCTGGGTAGCTGGATCCCATTGGAAGCAACCAACCCTGCAGCTGCTAGCCAGACTTGAGGGTCTTCCTGGCAGCTTCCACCCTCTGCCCTTCCTCTTTCAGAGGGGCCAGTTTCTGCTTTCTAGAGTACCCTGCCCCTGGCCAGGGGAGGCAGGAACCACTCCATATCAGCCTCTTCTCTATTAGTGATAAGTGCTGTTGCCATTAGCAGCCTTCTTTGCCCTGATTGTCATTTAGTTTATTTCCTCGTTTTCCCCAATTCTTTCTTTCTTCAGCTAATAAGTGGGCTCTTTGGACTATGGTGATAGGTGAATAATACTCTATGTGATAACTAAATCATTATTGAAGGCTTCCAAATTTAATTTTCTGTGGTGGTATTCTTAAAACCAAGTGAGGAACACAAGGTCTCAACGTGTAGTGGATGTTTCTTTGTGTGGAAACCAAAAGATTTGGGAGTGGCTGATGATGATGCAGCCTCTCCTGTTGACCATGGACATGGGCCCAAGAACATGGATTGACACATTTTTCTTGGGACCTGGCAGGTGGCGGGCAGTGGGAGAGGCACAGGTGGCTCCTGGTGCTATTCGGGGGTGGGTGTCAAGGGGCTTCCTGCACTTCCTGCTGAGAGCACTGCTGTGAGCCATGCTGCTTCTGCTCCCATGCGTGAGGTCCTGTGAAGATGAGCTGCTCTCTGGATAGCCCCTGGAAAGTCAGGGTTGCCCTGGCTGACATGTGTCTATGTGACTTAGGGCTGGCTAGCGGTCCGGACATGCTCGAGACAGATGGCCTCCAGGAAGTGCCTCTCTGCAGCTGCCGGATGGAGACCCCCAAGAGCCGCGAGATCACCACCCTGGCCAACAACCAGTGCATGGCTACCGAAAGTGTGGACCACCAAGTAAGCAAGTTTATTTTCACTACAAAGCAATGTTGGTCTGTCATGCCCCAGAAAGTACAGAGCTCCCATTAAATTCCAGATTGTGGCTCCCAGTTGGTGTCATTGGGAAGTGCGGTTCGAAATCTCTCTAGTAGATCCTGGGAGTTAGTACAGGACCATGCAGGCCCAGAGTTTGTTAAAAAGGGGGTTGGTAGGCGCACTGAATAAAAGTGGCTTCTTTTGGGCCTTTGTGGGGGGGGTCTTTCCTACTGTGCTGCGATTTCATATGTGAGCAGGTAGAGGCAGGAGAATCACACCAGCAGGATATCCTGCTGCCCAGGATAGTGGCTCCTGGCAAGACAGGTTAAGACAGACAATTTTGTGAAATTGAGTTACTTCCCCCCTGCCATCTATGACTCAGACACTGAGAGGGTTTCACTGTCGCTTTCTCCCTTGCTCCGTCCAGAAGAGAAGAGGAAGAACAGGCAGTGCGGAGAGGGAAAGCCTTTTCTGAGAATTTCTCCACAGCTGTTTGGCAAGATTTCTTTCAGCCCGTGGAGCCACTTAGCAGTGGGTGGCTGTGGGGAAGGGCTGAGCAGAGAGCTTGTTGGCATGAGGCCAGGAGAGGTCCCCTGTCCCAGGCCTATGCCTTCTAGGGGATGGATGGGGTCAGACGTGGTGCCTTGGTCCTGTCTTCTAGCCCTCTTCTTTGGAGCTTCTCTCATTGGCTGAAGTTTTGAGTCTTAGCTGTAAGTTTTAGAAATGAATGAAGTGTTGATAGCAAAGCAGCTCATAGCATGTCTCTATGCAGGGTGCTGCCTGAGCCATTCCATGTGTAGGGCCTGCGATCTCCTTGTGCTCACAGATCAGGGCACAGAGGCCAGGCAGCTCCCTGTCCAGGTCCCTGGCTCCAGGGAAAGAGCAGCAGGAATGGGCCTGTTCAGAGGCCAGCCAGTGTTGCCCCATGTTGTGAGGGGCCAGCATTGGCTGAGCTGTTGGAAACTCACTTGGTGGTCCTTTCCTGGCTCCTCTGCATATAGCCAAAGTTCCTGGTCCATGGATCTCGCTGGTTCTTGCTTCTGGCTGATCTCGCTTCTCTAGAAAGGTGCTGTTTCTGCTGATGCTTCTAGCCCTGGAACCACATGAAAACCCCTGGGTTACGGAGGATATCACAAACATGTCCTGGTGCCAGAGCTGGTCTTCTTTTGGTTAGTGTCCTCCTCCAAGTTCTTAGTTTGTGTCTTGCCAGAGGAAGAGACCAGCGCTTGTTGGCTTCTCCCAGGCTGTGGCGGCTCTGCAGCTCCTCACAGGTGCAACTTGCCACGTTTTTGACATGCTCGAACTCTTTAGAGCCCTTAACTGCATTATAAGAGGAGCTTTCTACAGTGAGAAGGTGATGTGGCTCAGCCCAGGCCCTCGCTTGCTTCTGCCTCCACCAGCAGAACGGCGGATTTTCCTTCATTGTCCTGCTGTGGGAAGTTTTTACTACAGCCCACTTTTCCCTCGTCTGCTAGGCTAGTTTCATACCAGATGGGCAGGATGCCTGGCTACGTCTTTCTTCTCAGAGGAAGGCACTGGGCTCCGACAGCCTCTGGTGGTGTGCAGTGGGCTTGGTTTGCCGCCCCTCCCTTCTCCCTTTAGCATCTTATGAACTTATGGTCTTTTCTGCGTTTGATGTAAAATTAGATCTAGAAAACTACAAAGCAAATGTCGGGTTTAGCCAGTTCATCTCAGGTGAGTTCTGGAAGCACCATCAAAATCAAGGTCAAGAAATGAACTTGACTCTCTCCCCACCCACCCAGGCTGTCAGACCCTCAAGGTTCCTGCCTTCTGGACCTGTGAATCCCACACTCAGATCATAGTTCAGTAGGTCCCTCTGTATTTTTTGGCAAAACTGCAGCTTGATAAGGAGATGGAACAGATTTAGCTCAATCCCTTTGCATGACCATGGAGGTATTGGCCCAAGACCAGGCCTCATATAGTTGCTTGTCTCCCTTTCTCTGGTGTTAGCAGCTGTTGATGCCTGATGCCTGTGTTTTTGATGTGTGGGAGGTTTCAGAATGGTGCTCTCCTGAATCTGTGGGTTATCTTGCATTTATTGGCTGAAATGTCTCTGCTGCCTCTTTACCCAGCAGCACCTCCCAAAGGCAAGACAGGCCTTTTGTTTGCCAGTCCTTGAGGTACTGAATTGTTTTCTATCAGCTTCTAAAGTTGACCAGTTCTTCCTTTTGTAACATCATTATGAACTCATGAATTTAGTAATGTTTGATGGGTGTAATTCTTTGTGTTATTGTTGAAGTTCAGATAGCTCCACGTTAACCCATATTGGATCCTCTTCCTGTTGATGGGGCAGGGTCTGTGAGGTCAGAACTGTTTTCCTTGATGACACTAAGAGGCTATATGTCTTGTCTTGTGTGTTGTACTATGTCCCCCCATTCCACCCCCCCACCCCCTTGTTGGGATCAAATCCAAGGATGCTCTGCCACTGAGCTACGTCCTCAGCAACTTCCAATGTCATTGAATCATGCAGGGTAAAAGATTGGTTCCAAGTATGAGCAACTAGAAGTGCATTGGTCATGGAGAAATTCCATCTTGCAATAGATCCTTAAGAAACCATCACTTATGGAAAGATTATCCACAGTTATCTGCTCTGTGACTGCAGAAGCAGATATGAGACTCCCTCATCTTTTTTTTTTTTTTTTGAGAGAGAGAGAGAGAATTTTAATATTTAGTTAGTTAGTTTTCAGCGGACACAACATGTTTGTTTGTATGTGGTGCTGAGGATCGAACCCGGGCCGCACGCATGCCAGGCTACAGCTTTAGCCACATCCGCAGCCCAAAATCCCTCATCTTTTATTATTTAAACTAGATATTAAAGAATTTTGCAAATAATAGAAGACAATGATACTCCTTACAAATTTGTGATGTTTGGGAGGGCAGAGTGTGTGTGGTAAAGCATCTCCTTAGCATGTGCAAGGCCCTGAGTTTTGTCCTGGGCCCTTCAAAATAAATTTTTAAACAATGCTTCAGGAAACAGTTTTATATTAAAATGTGTTCTTTATATTAATATGATAAGTTTATTGTTTTTTCTTTATTTATTTTAGTGGTACTAGAGATTGAACCTGGGGCAACCTATCAGTGAGCTACATCCTCAGACCTTTTCAGTTTTGATTTTGAAATGAGGTCACAATAAGTTGCCCAGGTTAGTTGTCTTCCGTGAAAGGTGTTGATCTTCTTTTGTGCTAAGTCTATCTCAGCATTGGCCAGAAGCTGATCCTCTTGTATAACTCCTCTCTCTCTTGACTGTTTTTCACTCAGGTGTGTGGAAGCATAATTTGCATATGGTAGAAGTCAAAAGAGTTACTGATGCTCAAAAAGTTTTGTGTTTTGGAGCATTTGGGCTCGAGATTGGGGATACTCAGATGACTGTATTGAACTCTTTGTTATTATGTATTTATTTCATTTACATTGGCTTCTTTTAGATTCCCAGGCTGAAATCCAGCATTTGGGTCCCCCAGATCTTTCTTTGATGATTGTTTCTTCGCTTGACAGTGGGTTCAAACTTTAGCATTGTTGATCTTTTGGGTCAAATAATTCTTTGTCATGGGGAGGTGCTTCCTGTTGGATGTTGAATGTTTAACAGCATCTCTGGTCTCCATCTATCAGGTGCAGTTAATTTCCCTAGCTATAATCACAAATGTCCCCACAAATTGTCAAATGTTGTTGGGAGTTTGGATGTGCAAAATTGCCCCCATAGAGGATCACTATTCCAGAGTCACCTTATTGAGTTGGGTGCTGTGCTGGCAGATAGTCCTGTGGGTTTATATTTTACCTTGAGCTCACCGTCTTCCCCAAGTCAAGGAGGCGTCTTCTGGCCTGTGCCTGCCCCATACCTGTGAGCACCATTGAGTGCTGGTTTCCAGGGCTGTGGCCCCTGGACTTTGTCCCTTTGCAGCTATGTTGGCCTTTGGCAACCCAACTGGGACATCGGTGAGTTGTGACCTGCGTCACTTCTTTCCGTGTTTTCTGCTGGAAAGCTGGGACTCATGGTCAGCCCCAACCTGGAGGGTAGCCCCACTTTTGGTTCTTTGGGTGGCCCCAGGCTCTCTGGGGAGTTGGGGCACTGCCTGTCCTAGGAGAATGGCATCAGGCAGAACTGTCAGCACCCTGGCTGGAAGCATCTTTGCCTCTTCAACTTTTAGGACAGAGAAGTGCATCTGTTCTGAACCTCCTCACACTTCCCCCCAGAATGACCACTGCCTTCTGACCACAGAGATGGCCGTTGCCCTTTGCATGATGGGTAGGGTGGGGGTGGGGGAAGCAGGACAACTCTGGTGTCTGTCTCAGAATGGCAGTGCGTTTAAGGCGTGCCCCCAGACAACCTCTGGTCTCCTGGTTTCTCCTAGTGTTTTCCCCCTACCGAAAGACGTGCTTTCTCCTCTCGTTCCTTGCCTTCCCATGTGGCACTGCCTCGGTCCCCCTTCTTGCTATGCTCTGGGCCTGCCTCAGTCTGGGCTGTCTGTGATCTGGTTTAGCAGCACCTGGGATGCTGAATTGTTCATAGCAGAGCAGGTGGGATGCCTAATTCCATTTCCTTTCTGGAACCACTTAAAATATATCTCCCCTCAGAGTTAAGAATACCATGTGTTCCATTTTTTGTTTTCTATGTACTTTCTGTAAACTCACCTCTAACTGATGGGGGTTGGTGTCTTTGTGAGTCTCTTCAGACCCGTCTCATCTCTCTCCTGCGGGGGCACACGTGTCTGGCTCCCTCTTAGTGGCATTACCTTGAGTCCCTTCTTGAGAGAGTACTTGGGAGAGAATGTTTTGAAACTTTGCATTCTCAGAATGTTCTGTCTCGTGTAGTGGACAGTTTGCCCTCTTATTCCAGCCCCAGAGTAGATGTCATCTCTGTATTGAGGGTGTGCCAGTGCCTCTTGCACACAAGCCCCCTCAGCACCATGTCTGTGCCACCTTGTCCAGGTTTTAGCTGTTGACCTCAGCCTTCATCTTTCCTCAGCTTGCTCGGGAGAGCCCTGTGCTGCATGGTACCATCTCTTCGAGAGCCTAGATGCTAGGTACACTATCCAGGGCTTTCCTGCCCTTGCTGCACCTGGTTGCACCTGCTTGGGCCGTGGTACAGGAGGAAGGTTCTTGCCTCTGGACATACCTGGCTGTGCTGCTAGGCAAGTCGCTGTAAGCCAGTGGAGTCCAAGGTAGACTCAGGCTTTCACCTTGGCCTGGAGGTGGCCTAGATCCCACTGCCAGGCTTCAGGGGCTTAGGGGATAGAGAGGACCCTGAGGAAGAGAGCCTGTGGGAGTAGCTGTCCAAAATCTGTCCAGGTTCTTCAATAGGTGAATAACAGGAGCAGAAGCAAAGGAGAGGCAACCCTGCAGAGGATTAGGGGACCAGCAGGTGCCCTGTGCTCAGCTTGTGTGTCTTGATGGACCAGTGTGAAAGCTTTTGAACCTGGGTCTCACTGCTCTGAGGATTTCATTACTGCTGTTTTGGGGTTGAGGATGGCCTTAAGGTTATGTTAAATATGGCTTATTAGCAGTACATCTGAAATATTTAAGAGCAAAATGGTTTGATTTCACCCATGAATGCACCAGCCCGTATTTCCTGAGCAGAAGTGTCATGGGGATGCAGCTCAAATGAGAGCAGAGTATGCTAGTGATTCTTGAAATTAGGTACTGCCCTTGTGGGCATTGTTCTTTGCTCTGTGTTCTTGAAACTTCTGAACAGAATGTTTAGTGAAACAGCGAAGCCCTCTACAGCTGCAGGAAGGCCTAGGTGATGGCAGGTGTGTTGAGGCCTGGGTGCCTGGTGTTCTCTTCCTGAAGTGGGTGGTGCCAGGCCTTCAGTCCCAGTATTCTGTCTGCCCTTGTCTCTGCCCAGAGGCAGGCAGGTTTGAGTCTGTTTTGCCAACTCAGTGCCTGATTGCCCAGTTGCTTTCCATCCTTCCCAGTGCTTGCCCTGTGCTGCTGCTCTACCACACATTCCTGGGGAGCCTTCTGGGGCTGCTTTGAGTGCTGATGTGCCCCTGCCTCGCTCACCTACTTTTTCTTTTGTACCTCTGTTTTGCATCCCTGACTAGGTTCCACTGTCGTTCCTTTGAAGTCCTCTTTCTAAAACACCACCCTGTTTGCATTCTGCCAAGTCAGCAGGACCCTCTACCCCAACTTATTTCAGCAGCCGGGTAGAATCATGCATTTTATCATTTTCATGACTATGAATAAGTTGTACTTATTATAAAACTTCAGACATGCACAAAGAAGGAAGTATAAATTTGCCTCTGACTCCAGAATTGAGGTTCTTACTATTTTTGTGTGTCCTTCTAGACTTGGTTGTGTATATACCACATCAAGTTTCTTTTTCCAAATGACTTGCTTTTTCCTTTAATGTATTGCAAATAGTTTTCCAAATTGGCAGGTGTGAACAGTCTGCACCTAGCAGGTCTTGACCAGGGCTCAGAGTGGGTCATTTGGTGTTGTCAGGGAGTGGATGGCTTTTTTAGGATGTATAGGCCCTGTTTCTTCCCCTTCCATTTTTTGTTGAATGCATATAGGGTAATGCCCATACTATCTTAACAAAACAAAACACCTCCCTAGTGATGCTTACACAATTCTGGGTGAAGCCCCTTGCTGGTCTGGCAGGTCATGTGTACCACCTGGGAATGTCCTGCCCCTGTGGAGGGACCTGTGTTGTTCCTGCTTTTCTCTTGTTGCAAGCTCGTATCTGGAGACAGGTTGAAAGACCGGTGGCATCCAGCAGAGTGAAAGAATGCTGGAGGCTGTTATGTCACATTTCTTTGATCACCAGGATATTCGAACATTGTCTCATTTGTTTTGGGAGCACTTGTAGTAGTTTGTGAATTGCCACTGTTTCTTTTGTTGGGCTATTTTTACTTTCTTACTGGCTCCCAAAAGCTTTACATGTTAACCAGCAGCACCCTTTGTCTGTGTGGCAAACAGCTACCTGCTGTCTGGTGCCTGGCAGCACATAGTCTTTCAGGTGTCCTCACCTCAGAGTTGCCTTTGCTTTCCTCCAGGATTGTCCCTGAGTCTAGCCTTTCAGGACCTCCAGGGCCCACACCCCTCAGGTAGACCAGAGGACATTTCTTCCAGCTATCTCACACCTCGGCTCTGACCCTGTTGTGTAGGCTCCTCCCACTGGTCTGGTCTACTCAGGAGTTGGTCATGTCGTTTCCTACAGCTCACCATAATGTTCTGTGCCATCCTTTTCTCCTCTCACCCTGATAATGTCCTAATTTCTGCTTGAGTGAAGCTGCTGGTCCCCTCAGTGTGGTCCCTTGGCTGCTGCCTTCCACAGGCGGTGCAGAAAACGAGACTTCCTTTCTTAGGTTCCCAGTGCTGGCAGGTGTGCAGCGAGTGCTGCTATGTGTGTTCCCAGTCGAGACCTGCCTTGCACTGCCCATGGCTTCTATAGTCAGCTCGAACTTGCTGAACACCACCTCTATATCAGGCACTTGCCAGGGCCTGGCAGGTGGGGATGCTGTTTTTTCACAACTCTGTCACTAACCCCTGGTCTTGTCTGATTGCAGTTGGGCCGGTGCACGAACAGTGTGGTCAAGTATGAGCTGATGCGACCGTCCAACAAGGCGCCACTCTTGGTGCTGTGTGAGGACCATCGAGGCCGCATGGTGAAGCACCAATGCTGTCCTGGCTGCGGCTACTTCTGCACAGCGGTAAGAGCCCAGCCCACCTGGTGGGCCTTTCATGTCCTCTAGAAACTCATCCCAGTGACTTGTCCCAAGTCTGGGGCCCACCCTGAGTAGGTCTTCAGCGAGACAAGGTCTCACTGAGTTGCTGAGGCTGACTTTGAACTTGCGATCCTCCTGCCTCAGCTTCCTAAGTTGCTGGGTTTATAGGCGTGCACCACTGCTCCCAGTTAGACATGCCCTTAGACATGCTCAGTCCTGCCTGTGGAGCATCCTCTGCTCCCTGCACTGTGAACTCCTGAGTTAGACGGGAGACACATCTTCCCTCTCCTGCACCTTCCTGTTGTGGCTAGGATCTTGTCTTCATTGACTCCCTCAGATATCTCCTCACCAGTGCCCAAGACCCCCCGAACAGGTTCCTTCCCCATGGAGCCCTGGTGGGCAGCACTTGCCTTTTCGTCTAGCCTCACGCTTCTGCAAATATCTGCTGCTCCTTTGTGAACCTGGCCAGGAGCTTCCACTCCAGGTCTTAGCTTGGATTCCACACCTTATATCCTACCTTATCTTCCAGCACCCTTTTTGTTCTGCCAAGGAGAGCCGCTTCTCTACATCTTCTTGTCTAGCGGTTTTGTTTGTTTGTTTTGGTTTTTTTTTTTTTTTTTTTTTTTTTTTTTTTTTTTTTTTTTTTTTTTTTTTTTTTTCTTTTTCTTTTTTAAAGAGAGAGTGAGAGGGGAGAGAGAGAGAGAGAATTTTTAATCTTTATTTTTTAGTTCTCGGCGGACACAACATCTTTGTTGGTATGTGGTGCTGAGGATTGAACCCGGGCCGCACGCATGCCAGGCGAGCGCGCTACCGCTTGAGCCACATCCCCAGCCCCCTTGTTTTGGTTTTTTTAATATTTATTTTTTAGGTGTAGTTGGACACAATCCTTTTTTAAAATTAATTAATTATTTTTTTTAATGTGGTGTTGAGGTCTTGCACATGCTAGGCGAGCACTCTATCTCTGAGATAAAACCCCAGCCCTTCTTATCTAGCTTTTTACAAGAGTGGCCATTCTCATGGTGCTTGTTTGCACAGTACTCACTGAAATGCCAGCGGTGTCTCCTTCACTCTGTGACCCAAGACTCTTGTACCGTCTGCTCTGCAGAACATGGGCCCTCTGAAATCCTCCTGGACCATATCTCTTATGAAGTCTCTTGCTTGGCTAGAGAATCTGAACAACGATGGTTACTGGGGGGCTGGGGGCACCGAGGTGACCTCTGTGGCTTCTGTTCTCTGTGGAAATTGCTGGCAGATGTGAGCGCTCTAAGCAGACACACTGTTCTTGCTTCTCAGCAGCATGGGGCTAGGACTAAGGGCCTACCTGGTTCACCTGCTTGCCCTATCTGCCTGGCTCAGTAGAGCTATTTTTCTGAATGTTAGCTCCAGTTTTTTCAAAGAGTGACTTTTGTCTTCCTATCTTTAGGGTAATTTCATGGAATGTCAGCCCGAGAGCACCATCTCTCATCGTTTCCACAAGGACTGTGCCTCTCGAGTCAACAATGCCAGCTATTGTCCCCACTGTGGGGAGGACACCTCCAAGGCCAAAGAGGTGACCATAGCGAAAGCAGACACGACATCCACAGTGACCCTGGCCCCTGGGCAGGAAAAGAGCCTGGTCACCGAGGGCAGGGCTGACACGACCACGGGCAGGTACTTGACCAAGTGACTCTGACTGGATTCTCTGGACCGAGCCCCTGTTGGGTCCCTCTAGTTATTGGTTTCTCCTGCTTTATGCCGAAGTCTTGGCCTACCTTTTTTTTTTTTTTAAATGGTACTGGGTATTGAACTTAGGGGTGTCTGCCTCTGAACCACATCCCTAGCCCTTCACTATTTTTTATTTTGAGACAGGGTCTCACTAAGTTACCCTTGCTGGCCTGGAACTTGCCTCCTCCTGTTCCAGCCTCCTGAGGCACTAGGATTACAGGCACTCCACCCATCTTAATCTCAGCCAGCTCTGATGCTTATTGTGATTTTTGACATTTAAGAAACAGCTGACATTAATTTATTGCCATTTATATATGGGTCTCTTTTAGGTTTTGTAGATTCAGTTGCCTGTTTTCATGCTACTTGATGGATGTGGCTTTGTGAGTTCTGTCACCAGCACAGTCCCTGCAGTGATTATTTGATAAGCCTAAAGCATCCATCAGCTGTTGCAGGCTCTTCCTGCTACCCTCTTTTTTTTTTTTTTTTTGGTACTGGGGATTGAATCCAGGGCCACTTAACCATTGAGCTACATGCCCAGGCCTCCCTTCCCTCTGTCCCCCAGTCCTGCTTTTTTGGCGGTGCTGGGGATTAGAACTAAGCTATATCCCCAAACCTCTGCCTCCCCTTTTTGTTTAAAATTTTGAGACAGGGTCTCACTGAGTTGCTGAGGCTCTCTTTGAACTTTCGATCCTCCGGCCTCAGCTTCCCAAGTTGCTGGGTTTATAGGCGTGCACCACTGCTCCCAGTTCCACTACACTCTTCATGGCAGGGTAGAAGCCTTTCTGGAGACAGGAGAACAGTCTGGAACAGTATTCACAGAGACTCATAACATCACTTTCCTGAAGGAGTCCATTGGAAGTGGCTAAAACTGTTTAGAGTTGATGTTGTCAGCAAAAGAAAAGCATAGTTGCAGCAGCCAGTTCTCCCTCCAACCATAGCCTGGTAGTAAGGGAGGTGATGCAGAGACCCTTCCAGAGTGGCAGCCATACCCACAGGCCACCCAGAAAAAAGGGGAAAGCAGAGTTTAAGAAGTTTCATGCTGATAGAAGGAAAATTAAGACTTAATGGAAGATCTTTTAAAGGACACAAATTATGAACTCTCCAAACTAAAGATTAGAGAAATAACGACTCAGTGGGTTTCTGTCTGCTGGGGAGGGCAGCAGGTGGGATAAGTGTGACTCAGGAGCCTCACCCCTCACTTGAGTGGGGTTCTGAATTCAGGGCTGTCACATTCTGGACAAAGCAGGTAGCAGGTGATCTGGCCATTGTCTCTACTGGAGAAGCAGCTTGTGGGACAGGTGGAAGCAGGGTATTTTGTGTTTTCATTGATTTTTCATGAGAAGAGGTTTTCGAATGCCAAAACCGATGTTTCACTAATTTCCTCCCCCTGAAGCACTGCTGGAGCCCCACTCTCTGAGGACGACAAGCCGCAGAGTGCAGCTCCCCACGTGCCTGAGGGCTTCGATCCCACCGGGCCGGTGGGGCTGGCGAGGCCGACCTCTGGCCTTTCCCAGGGACCTGGGAAGGAAACCTTGGAAAGTGCTCTGATCGCTCTGGACTCGGAAAAGTAAGAGCTGATTTTGGAGATGATCACTGTGCTATGTCCTGGGGCGGGGGGTCGGGGGTCACTATGCTTTCCAGCTGTTTGAGTGACACCGTTGATCAGAACAACTCTTGTGTTTTTATACTGTTTGGGGAAACCATTGCAATTGTGGTCCTGGGGAGGCCCTTGAAGTCCTAAGTGAGGACAGTCAAAAGACACTAGAGACCCACTCCCTAGGTATGCCGCCCACAGACCACTGACAAAAACACCATCCCGGAGCCCACTCCCAGCTGTGCAGGCTTTCCTAACAGCTCCATACCCCATATACCCAGATACCTGCAAGCACTTCTGGCCGACAGGATGCCCAGGTCCTCCCTTCGGTGGGACAACCTCACCTTCCTTCAGGAGGAAGAGCAGCATGTTTATTCTTCCATGAATAGAAAAATCCTGGTGCTGACAAAGTCCTAGTGTACCTCTTCCTCACCTGGGTGGGCCTCCCTCTAGCTTCCTCTCTGTTTGGTCTCTCAGTCTGTTGTTACAGCAACCGTTGCGTTCACTTGTTGCTTATAGTCCCTACTGCACCAACCACGCCCTGACTATTCCTGACTCCTGCCTATCCCCATACCCCAGTTATTGATGTATATTTATCAATTTAGTTATTGATATTAAAGTTTTCACAGCATAAAACCTGGGTCCCCACTCTTGCAGCCCCAGGCCCTTCTTTACTGCTGGAAGTTGGCTTATGTAGCTTGGTGGCAGCTCTTGTCACCCACTGTGCTACAGGCAGAGAGTGGGCTGTACACATGGCCTCATTGTTGCTGTGCTGAGTGTGTTGGTGGCTCTTCAGGGTCTCCCTCCACCTGCTGCAGAGCAATGGCTTGCCCTTGACCCTTGGTTCTTTTGCCACATCTACAGAAGCTCCTGGTGTGAGCATTCTCATGCCATAACCGAGAAGGGTTTGACTGTAAGATGCTTCAAGACTGGTGGCTTCGTTGTGTATGACCTTGAGGAATTGGCAGGCAGCTGTACACCAAGGGCCTTTGGCTTCCAGGTTTACGGATGCAACTTGGGCTGTGCTGACCATGACCTCTGCTTTCCTACAGACCCAAGAAGCTTCGCTTCCACCCGAAGCAGCTGTACTTCTCTGCCAGGCAGGGCGAGCTACAGAAGGTGCTCCTCATGCTGGGTGAGTTGCCTGCATGGGCACCCAAAGGAACGGAGCACAGTCCTATTGGTTGCCCCTTTCTTTTATGAGCCTGATCTTACTATTGCTCTGTTCATGAGCCTTTTGCACATGACTGGGAGTGCCCAGTGGCACCATCCGGCTTCTGATGTTCATGTCCACCTTCTCGTGGCACTGGGACACTCTGCATTTCTAACTTTTGAAAAGGAATTAGGTGACGATTAAATCAGTTAGAAATGTAGGTGCCTAAAAAGCGATACTAGTGCTGGGGCCTGTTGTGAGTGCTGCAGAGGGAGCCTTGTCTGTCTGTCTGTGGACAGGTGGTACTGGTGCACCCGTATAGCCTGAGCTCTGAGCCCATGGCTCCAGGCTTGAGGGCTCAGAAGTTTATCTACTCTGGGCTCAAAAGAGGTGATTAAAAAGTCTTTTGCCTTGGAGCTGGGGTTGTGCTCAGTGGTAGAGTGCTTGCCCAGCATGTGTGAGGCACTGGGTTTAATTCTCAGCACCACATATAAATAAATGAAAAAAATAAAGGTCCATCAACGTCATTTAAAAAAAAAAAGGCTTTTGTCTCTCAGCAAAACATGAGAGAAGTTGAACAGTTTGCTCGGGGGTGGGGGGGGGGGGGGAGGTTTATTTAACTTTGACCAAAATGGCTGTTGACTCTTTTCCTTCTGACTTCACACAGTCTAAGTCACTTCACTTCTGTATGGCTGGCTTCTTTGCTGAGTATCTGACAGATGTCCAAGTTGTTGGTCACAGGACCCCAGAGCCAATTTTATCTTTGTCAGTGTCCTCATAGGCCTAGGGAGGCTCAGCCCAAGAACACTCAAGAACAGAGCCAGGCCCCCAGACGGAGAGGGGACGAGGAAGGGGCAGGTGTTGTTACCTGCCTCTGATGGACAATTCTGCCAGCTGGGTTGTGTGTTGTCAGTCTTCTAAGCAGATGGGGCCTGGCCCAGACCAGACAGAGCAGTGTGCTGGCTCCAGCTGGCTCGGCACTGGCTATTGGTCTGGGAGCTGCCAGCTCTGGCTGTCACAGCCATCAGGGTCATCTGGAGGCACATCAGTGGTGACAGCAGCGTAACCGGCTATACCATGTTTGTTCACAGTTGATGGAATCGACCCCAACTTCAAAATGGAGCACCAGAACAAGCGCTGCCCACTACACGCTGCGGCAGAGGCCGGCCATGTGGACATCTGCCACATGCTAGTTCAGGTTTGGAGGCGCGGCTCACCCAGACCTCTCCCTCGCTGTCCTTCATGTTTGTTGGAGTGAAGAGACTCCAGGTTCCTAGCCCAGCCGAGGCAGTGGCAGTGCTGCCAGGAAAGAAGCTTCCTGTCCCTCGTGGCCCTGGGGCTGCTGGCCCTGCTCCAGCTGTTTCTGCTGGCATTGATCTCCATGCTCACAGTCCCACACAGCATGGCTGTGTGTCAACTTGTTTAATTTTAGTTTAGGTTTAGGTTTTGATATTTATTGACCTATTGCCAAAGATAAGGGTTCACTTCAGCCCAAACCTTCCCCCACCCCCCACTACCTGGTTACTTTTTTATATTCAGAACTTGCTTTAATTATATAAGGGATGTTTTTTAAAAAAATATTTAAAATTTGTAATTGACATATAATAATTGCACACATTTATTGGGTACAGGGTGATGTTTCAAAATATGTATATAATACGTAACAGATCCAGGCATTTGGTGTATCCATCACCTCAAATGTTGGTCATTTCTTTAGAGAACATTCAAAATCCTCTCTACTACCTGTTTTGAAATATTCAGTTAATTGTGCCAATCATAGTTACCCTCTTCTGCTGTGGAAGATTAGAAGTCATCCTTCCTGCCAGCTGCTCCCTATACCCATTGGCCATCCTCTCCAGCTCCCCATCCCACCCTTCCCAGCCTCTGGGAACCAGTCCTCTGTTCTTTGCTTGCACATTTAAATGAGAACATGCAGTATGGGTCTTTCTGCATCTGACTTATTGTGCCCCACATAATGTCCTCCATGCTTATCCATGTTGCCAGAGATGGCAGGACTTCATTCTTTATGGCTGAATAATATTCCACTGTGTTCATCTCACACTTTCTTTACCCATTCATCTGTGGAAGAACACCTTGGATGGCAACATATCTTGGTGCTGGTGAACCTTGCTGCAGTCAGCACATGAGAGCAGATTTCTCTTCGACTTACAGATTTCCTTTCCTTGGCATATGTGCTCAGGAGTGGGTGCTGGATCAGATGATGGTTCTATTTCTGATTTTTTGAGAAGCCTCCATACTACTTCTCTAGTGGCTGAACTAATTTATGCTCCTACCAGCAGTGTATAGAGTCCCCTGTCCACATTCTCACTGACTTATGTCATTTGTCATTAGCCTTTCTACTGGGGTGAGATGATATCTCACTGTGGATTTGATTTTCCTGCTTATCTTTTTTTTTTTTTTTTTTGTACCAGGGATTGAACCCAGAGGCATATCCACATCCCTAGTCGTGAACCACCAGGTTTCTTAGAGTCTTGCTAAGTTGTTGAGCCTGGCTTTGAACTTGCAACCCTCCTGCCTCAGCCTCCCAAGCTGCTGGGATTATAGGATTATGCCACCACGCCTGGCCTGTTTGTATATCTTCTTTTGAGAAATGTCTATGCAGATCTTTTGTCCATCTTAAAATTGAATTATTCTATTTGGTATACATTATAGAATTTAAGCCCTCATCACATGAATAGTTGGCAGGTATATTCTTCCATTCTGTAGGTTGCCTCTCAGCTCTGTTGATTGTTTCCTTGGTGTTCAGAAGTTTTTTGGTTTGATGTAATCCCATTTGTCAGGTTTTGCATTTGTTGCCTGTGCTTTTGTGAGTCATATCCAAAAAAATCTTTGCCCTACCAATATCCTAGAACATTTTCCCTGTTTTCTTCTGGTAGTGCCATAGTTTCAGTTCCCACACTACTTGTTGAAGAGACTATTCTCTGTTATGTGTTCCTGGTGCTTTTTATCAAAAAACCATCAGCTGTGAATATGTGGATTTATTCCTGATGCTTATTCTGTTGCACTGGTCTGTGTGCCTTGCTTTTATGCCAGTAGGCTGCTATTTTGGTTAATATGGCTTTGTAGTAATTGTGGGGCCTTCAGCCTTCATTCTTTTTGCCCAGGATTGCTTTGGTATTCAGAGTGTTATGTTTTTCCATATGAATTTTAAGAGTGTTGTTTCTCATTTCCATGAAGAATGTCGGTGGTATTTTGATAGAAATTGCACTGAATCTATGGGTCACCTGTAGTTTAATATTTAACAGTATTCTTTCAATTCATGCACTTGGAAGATCTTCCTATTCTTTGATGTTCTTAACTTCTTTCATCATTGTTCTGTGAATTTCACTTAGAGATCCTTCACCTCTTTGGTTAAATTTATATAAATGTGTGTGTGTGTGTGTGTATTCATATTATCTTTTACTGAAATTTTGTTGGTAGTATATGAAAAACCTACTGACATTTCAATATTAGTGTACCCTGCAACCTTACTGATTTCAGGCATCAGTTGTAACTGGTGGAATCTTTAGGTTTCCCTATAAATAAAATCACAATATCTGCAAACAGGTAATTGGCCCTCCTCCTTCCTCTCGGATGCTCTGTTTCTTTGTCCCCCTGCTTTCCAGTCATATACTGAGTAAGTGGCCAAAGCTAGCATCCTTGCCTTGTCCTGGGTCTTGGAGAAAGTCCCTGAACTCCCCTTCACCATGGCATTGTTGAGGGTCTGCCATGTGGCTTTGGGCTTTGTTGTGTCGAATATGGTCCCTCTACCTCATTGATGGATAGTATTATTAGGAGGGGATATTAAATTTTATTGAATGGTTTTGCTGCATCTGTTGAGGCAATCACGTTTTGTCTTTTGTGGTGTTGCTATGACAGGTTACTCTTTTGTGTTTGTGCATGTTGAATCATCCTTGCATTTCTGGGATGACACCCATGCCCCACCGTAGCTAATGATCTTTTTGATGTACTATTGGATTCAGTTTGTTAGCATTTTGCCAGGAAATTTTAATGTATCTACATGTGGGAAATTGTTCTGAAGTCTTTTTTTCATTGTGTCCTTCTGGTTTTTGTTATCAGAAAAATACTGGCTTCGTAGAATGAGTTTGAAAGGGTTCCCTGCTTTCATTTCTTTTTTCTTTGGGTGCCAGGGATTGAACCCAGGGGTGCTTAACCACTGAGCCATATCCCTAGCCCTTTTTGTATTTTATTTAGAGACAGGGTCTCACTGAGTTGCTTAGGGCCTTGCTAAATGACTGAGGTTGGCTTTGAATTTATCATCCCCCTGCCTAAGCCTCCTGAGAGGCTGGGATTACAGGCGTGCACCACCATACCCAGCTCCTCCTTTCATTTCTTTGAAAAAGTTTGAGAAGAGTTAGTGTTAGTCTTTGAAGGTGTGATGAAATTCAGCATTGAGATCATCCAGACCTGGACTTTTCAATGTTGGGAAACTTTGCTGTTGATTAAATTGTGACTTAATGGTCTTTTGAGATGATTTATGTTCCTGCAGTTCAGTGTTGGTAGATCGTATGCGCTTAGCTCTTGTTGGCATATAGTTGTCATAATAGTCCTTGAGATAGTAAACACTTTATTGCTTTGATTGAAACACCTTCCACAGACAGCTTGGAGGAGGAAAGACTTATTTTGGCTTACGGTTTCAGAGGCTTTGGTCCACAGTGTACTGCCTCTGTTGCTCTGGGCCTGAAGTAAGGAGAGCATCATGGCAGACCAGAGCGCCTCAGCACATGGCCACTGGGAAGCAGAGAGAGAACCCTTTCAGGCACACTGCAATGGCCTGCTTCCTGCAGCTAGGTCCCACTCCCTTGGATAGTTGATATTTTTGTCTAGGTGATGCTTGCGTTGAGGAAAGTGGGTGGAGTTCCAACTCTTACTCATTGGAGTCCTCCTCTCCTTTAGATGTAATACACTTGCTTTAGACAGCTGGGTGCTCTAACAGCAGTGTATTTAGTCCTTGTGATTGTTATTTCTTCTTGTTGAAGTGACCCCTGTGCATGGTCTTTTGTATGGCTCTTGACTTCACATCTGCTTTATCTGTTGGGAGCAGGCCGAGTCCTGCTGGCTTCTGGTTTCCATGCCAGTCTTCCCCCATTGCGCTGTCAGCTGGGGGAAGTCAGTCTCTTGTTAGCAGCATACGGTTGGGTCTTGCTGCCTAAATCATTTGGCAGTCCGTATCTTTTTCACTGAGGATTTCCTGTGTTTGCACTCAAGGCTGTTGGTATTGAGGACCCTCAATCTGTTGTTTCTGGTGATTCTGCATATCCTGGTCCCTTCCTTCAAGCCTCCCTATGTGTCCTTGTGGCTCAGTGGCTTTCAGTACTGATGGGTGAGTCTCCTTTCTCTGGGTGCCTCCCTCTCCTGTTGGCTGTACTTCCCAGGTTTCCAGGATGATAGTTGTCTTTCTTTTGCTGCAGGGAACAGGGCACCCTAAGTATTTCTCTCAGGGCTGCTAGGCTGGTGCTGGATTTGTTGCTCTCTCATTTCTGAGATGTGGCATTCAGCTGTTTTTCCCACCTCAGCATCCCACTCTGTCCTGGCTTGTAAGGCTCTGCTCAGAGTCTGCTACTGGCCAAGGGGGAGTCTCTGGTATTGGCCGTGCCGCTCTTCTGTTTTCCTGGTGATCTGTGTTGATCAGATTGGTCAACGTCCCTGGGCTTCCTGTTGGAGATCCACACCTTCTCAAACTTGCAGGTTCTATGCAGCTGCTTTGTCGACTAGCTGTTATGTGCCTTTTCTCTTTCCCTCTGTTTTTGGAACATCCATAATTGTCCATGTAGGCTCTCTTGGCAGTGTGTCCCATGAGCCTTGTGGGCTTTTTTGTTCTTTTAAGTGTATTTATGTATTTTTTGATTCTAATATTTTGGTCTGACTGTCTTATTTCAGAAAACCTGTCTTCAGGCTCAGAAATTCTCCTGAGCTGAGCCATTTAGTCCACAGGGCACGTTTCATCTATACATCATTGTTCTCTTGTGTTTGCATGGTTGGGTGGACTTGGTCTCTGTTGGTCCCCCAACACTCTTCATAGGCTTAGGCCTGTCCTGTCCACTCTGTGGGTGTTGAACCTCCTAGCTATGTGTTGCAGAAGCCCCACTGAATCTGATGCTCCCTGCCTCTGACCCTTCATATGTGACTATACTTGGCTTCTGGAAAGTTTGGGGATTGTTATTTAGCCTGACTGGCCCTGAGTCTCACCTCATTATAGTTGGTGCTCTTCTTAGTCCCGTGTCATGCTGGCACACTCTGTGGAGGGGTCCATGCCCTTTGTCCTGTTTTCCTGTGTAATTTTGAGAAGCACCCTCCTGTTGTCTCCAGCTAGGACTCCTCCACTTGGAGATGGGGCTTCTAGACTGATTCCCAAACGAAGTTTTCTCCTCACCTGCCACTGCACTTTCTAGAGGTGTTCTCACAAGAACTCTGTTCTCTGGTTATCTTTTTTTAGAGCCTCTTATTTTACCCTGCTGTTCTGAAGGCGTTACTCAGAATTATAGTGAAGTCCTGTGCTATCCACAGAGCACCCTGAGGTGACTAGGCAGGCTTCGAGGTCTAGCCAGCCAGGGTGTGTTGGGAAGTGTTGGGTGAGTGTTGGGCTGTGCAGGTAGGGTAATTTGGGAAGAGGGGATAGAATGATACAGAGGAGGCAGAGGAGTTGGTGCTTCCTGGGGCAGGAGAGAGATGCCAGCAGGTCCAGGGATGCTGCCGAGGGTGGGCAGAGAAGAGCAGGCAGCATCCCAGGACATGGGCACAGCAGGGGCCGACGCCTAGGGGTCAACAGTCAGGGTAGGTTCCCTTTCCACCACTGGGGGTGCACCTGTTCTGGAGTGCATTTCTCTGGACTTGGAAGTCTTGCTTGCCAGTTATTTCCCCTCATTTCATTTAGGGTGACCCCGCTATTCTGACTTCATTACTGAGAACTGGATTATTATTCTTTCAAAAGGCATTGTTTTTTTTCCTTGTCTTGTCTTTTTTTTTAAAAAAATAAGGGGCTGGGGTGTGGCTCAGCAGTAGAACAGTGTTCAGAATGCTCATGGCCCTGGATTCAATTCCCATGACCAGAAACCCAGTGCAGATAAGTGTGCATGTATATGTGTGAGTGTGCCACACGTTGGGGGATGTCTGTGGAGGTAAGCACCCTGCTTTACCCATGGCTTCACAGAGGGCTCAACATTGTCGGTCCCCAAGGTGCTGTGCCCCTGAGGCTGAGCTCTGCCAGCCCTCACTGTGAGAACCTGTCTGCCTTGGCTCCCTGTACCTTCCCCGGGTGGCTCCACTCACTGTTGTCCACTTTCAGCTTGATATTAATAGAGATGGACAGGACAGATTCTTTTGTGTCTAGCTTCTTTTAGTTCCAACATCACAAAACAAGAACCAAGTGATAACGTGGAAAAAGCAGGCAATGCAGGTGGGAGTGAGTGGAACCATCTTAACTCTTCTCTTTACCATGGCTGTGGTTTGCACAGCGTTGTCCTTGGAGAAGTTGTGGCTTTCTGTTCTGTTCTGTGTCCACTGTGCCCTGTGAGGCTGAAGCTATTACAAAATGAAATATTAGATATTTGGGAATCCTTTGCATACAGCGTTTTTTTTGGGGGGTGGGGGTGGGGGTAATGGGGATTAAACCCATGGGTGCTCTACCATTGAGTTACATCCCCAACCCTTTATATTTTTATTGATGGATGATGGATGGATGGATGCTGGGGATTGAACTCAGGAGCCCTCAACTACTGAGCCATATCTCCAGCCCTCTTTTGCATTTTATTTAGAGACCAGGTCTCACTGAGTTCCTTAGTGCCTTACTTTTGCTGAAGCTGTCTTTGAACTCAGGATCCTCTTGCCTCAGCCTCCAGAGCCACTGGGATTATAGGCCAATGCCACCGCACCTGACTCTTTATTTTTTAATTTTGAGACAGGTTCTCACCAAGTTGCCAAGTTTAACCTCGAATTTGTAATCTTCCTGCCTTAGCCTTCCAAGTTACTGGTATTATAAGTGTGGGCCACTGTACCCAGCTATCCACAGGAACTCTTTATACCCTTTCCATGGACATCTGTTCATTCATACCTGGTTGTCTGGCCAGCCTGGAACAACTCAACTAGTTCTCAGTCAACCTTGGTCTAATCCTCAGCTATAGAGTTACTGTTGCTATTCTTGGAAGATCCTTTTGTGCGTGAATTTTATCTTTTCCTTCAATCACAAGTAGTTTAACTGTGATTTCCCAAGAAAAGGAACAGAGTGAGTTTTTTTCTAGTTTTCCCTGAGTCCCAGGGCACAGCTCCTTAGGGTTTCAGTGTCTGTGGGTGTCTTACATCATAAATCTCCTGCAGGCTCTGGCCAGAAGCCCCCAGTGAAGACTAGCACTGGTGTCAGTTCTTCCTGTCCCCTCTCTGGACCTGTCCCAGCTGGGCTGACCTGTGGACCTCCCATTTGCATTTGGTTTTGAGCTGTGTGCCCTGAACCTGTCCAGGGGCCTCTTGAGAGCATGTGTGATGTTTGTCCGTCTTAGTTTCACTGAGTACTCGCTGAAGCTTTGGTTTTGTTTGATCCCCACTGTGCCTGTTGACTTGCTGCATGTGCTGTTTGGATTGGAAGCTACAGCAACAGAGCAAATGGTCCTTAGCACTGCTGCGCTTGCTGCTCAGCCATGGAGAGCATCCCAGCCTTGAAGACAGTGCTTCTCTGTTGCCGGGATGGACTCAGCCCTGGTCCTATTCCAGGGCTGTGGATATCTGTGGTCTGAGTCTGTGGTTTGACTCTGGGGCTGAGAGGCTCTGCGGGTCAGTCTCAGTAGTAACTCATATAGGAGCTGCCATGTCTGCCAGCCTTGTGAGCCCCTGGGCTTCTCCTCACATATGGGATTATTTCCTAGCCTAAAGGCAGGTTCGCCTCTGTCTGCTCACACTATTGTCTCCGCTGTGATGCTTTCTCTCCTGAGTGTTGTTTCAAGATGGGGCTCAGTGTGAATGCTGAATGTGCCAGGCTATGAACTAGGTGTGCCCACAGTGAGGGTTTGGGAGTGCATAGTGGTCCTGCCAGTTTCAGAATGGATCCAGTGTCCCCTGCTGAACATGTGGCAGAGTCCACAACTGGAAGCCACATTTTTTTGTGTTGTTTCATCTGTTGGCAAATTCCATTAGTTACCTGTTAAGTCTTGGTTTTGGCTCTTCATCTATGTTTTTCCCCCTGAGTCTCAATGTTCTTGAATGTTTTTTGGGTGATGGTTAATAATTGGTGTCTTCTCCAGGGGTCCAGGGTTGCTGTGTGCCTATGAGGGGCTCCTGCTTGTCTGCGGAGCTGGTAGTGCCAGGTGCCAAGGTCAGAGTGAGATCCTGGGGGTCCAGGAGGAGCAGGGCTATATGTGCTGTGTGCAGATAGAGCATGGTCTCCAAGTGCAGCCCTGACCCTCCTCAGCCGCACTGTCTCTGCATGGCCTCCACTTGCTGCCCTGTCCTCTGTGTTTGAAAGTTACTTACTTGTTAAAGTCAGCCGCTGTGGAATTCTGGCCTCCTTTGCCGTCAGATTTAGCAGTGTGACCCTGGCCTTGAACTTTTGTCTGAAATTGTGTCTCTCCCCACCCACCTCCTTGTTTCTGTGTCAAATCTGTGGTTGGTGTGACCTCTGGCCCCTGCCCTGGGGCCTCCAGATTTAGCCCATGAAGTCTATCTCTGGAGACCACCACAGTCCCTTCCAGAACCCCTAGTTGCAGCATGCACCCTTTAACTGCTCCTGGCTTGTGTAAAACTTCCTTTCTTGATGATTCTACTCTTGTGTTTTAATTGCTAATAGCAAAAATAATACTGTTGTCACTATTTCATTGTAAATATTTGTTTTATAAGATAAATATTAGCTGTTGGTTTAAGAAGTTGGATGGTTACCCTGTGGGGAAAAGATTTCAGCTGCCAGCAGCTTATTTGCTCTTGGCACACAGCCAGTGTTAAGTTGGGGGCTTCACCTATGTGTACCTGCTATTGCACCAGTCTTTCAAGTTTCTTACTTTTTAGAAAAATTAAATTGCTCCAAAATGCATATCATGGAAATTCGTTTGGGTTCTGTTTATTTTGGAAACTGTTGAAACAGCTGGAGAAGTAGGCAGCAGACCCAACAAGCTGGGATGCCCCTCCGCATGTCCCTTTCCCAGGCCTCTTCGCACCTGCTTTGCCTGCTTTAAGGTTTCATGCCATCTTTCTCACTTGTAAAGATGTTGTCACACTGCTGTGCTGTGAGTATTTTCTATCAGGTTAATTTAGAAATGAGATCTTGCCAAAAAAACACCCTGTGTGAACTGAAACTTCATAGAAATAGAATGGCTGTCTTAAATGCAGTTTGGAAGACTCAGATGTGGTCCAGTAGAGTTTTCAGCTGCTCATTCAGTCTCCTTTTTAGACGTGGAAGCATCTATGCTTATGTGAAGGGCTGCAGTAGCTTCTCTCCCATACACCTGACTGTCCTTGTTTTACCAGGCGGGCGCCAATATTGACACCTGCTCAGAAGACCAGAGGACCCCACTGATGGAAGCTGCAGAAAACAACCATTTGGATGCAGTGAAGTACCTCATCAAGGCTGGGGCACAAGTGGATCCAAAGGTACCCCATGATGTTCATGTTCCTACTCCCTATGTAGGCGTTTCTCAGAAACGAGAGTGGAGACAGTTCCTCACTGGAACACTGTCAGGAACTGGTAGCCTGCAGACATTTACCCAGTCGTCCAGAATTCTCTTCACCTTCCAAGGTGACCTGGCATTATTAGTGGCCATCCCAGGTGAGCACCAGGCCCCCTGTGCAGAAGCTTCCAGCCGCCTGCACGCAGTGTACTTCTCTCTATCTTCTACCCAGGGCAGTTAGGCAGGAGGAGAAATAGAAGGCATCCATGTTGGAAAGGAAGAAGCAAGCTTGTCTCTGTTCTTATATTCTGTATAATACCTAAAGAATCCACAAAAATATTGTTAGAGCTGACAAACTAGTTCAGCAAAGTAGTAGGATACAAAATCAACATGCAAAAATGAGTTCCATGTTTATGTACTTAGTCTTCTATCCAAGTATGAAATGAAGAAAATAATTCCCTCAAAAAGAGGGAAAACTATCAACAAGGTAAACAGCCGTACATTGAAGATGGCAAATCACAGCTGAAAGAAGTCCAAGAAGCCACAAGTGAAGGGAGAGACCTCCCACACTTACAGACCAGGAGGCTTAATGTAGTTAAAATGAAGTACTGCTTAGTGCATTCTCTGGATTCCATGCAATCGTTACCAAAATCCTAGCAGACTTTTTTTTTTTTTAATTTGTAGATAAATACCTTTACATTATTTATTTAGGGTTTTTTTTTTTTTTTTTTTTTTTGTGGTGCTGGGGATTGAACCCAGTGCCTCATGCATGCTAGGCAAGTGCTCTACCACTGAGCCACAAACCCAGCCCCCTATAGCCTTTTTTATGTATACTGGAAAACCCATCCTGAATTTCATGTAGAATCTCAAGGACTTGGAGTAGCCAAACGATTTTGAAAACGAATAGCAAAATTGGGAGACTTAACCCTTCCCAATTTCAAAACTTACTATAAAGCTATGAAAAGAGCATGGTATTGGCATAAAGACAGCTAATAGAGATCCAAGGAATAAAAGAGGCCCATAAATAAACCCTGCTATGTGTTAACTTTTATTGGGATATGACAGTCATTTGAAGGGCAGAGGACAACTTTCAACAATGGTGCCGGGAAAACTGGGTACCCACACACAGAAGAATGTGTTAACACCACATATGAGAATAAATACAAAATGGATTGAAGAACTAAAGAGCTAAAACTGTAAAACTCTTGGAAAACAAAGTTTAATGACCTTGGATTTGGAAGTGATTTCTTGGCCATAATACCCAAAATACAGACAATAAAGAAAAATTAGATAAACTTCATTAATCTTAAAAATCTCTGCATCTAAGAACATTATCAAGAGAGTAAAATGACAGTTTGCAGGATGGAGAATTATTGGCAAATCCTGTATCTGGTACAGGGTTTCTCTTCAGAATATTTAAACTGTTAGAACTCAACAAAACTCAAATGATCCAATTCAAAACTGGTTACAGGTTTTAAAAAAAAGATAAATGGCCACTTAGGAGATGAAGAAAGAGATAGTTGACATTGTTTGTCATTAAGGAACTGCAAATCAAAATTACAGTTACATGCCACCTTCCACCACCAGGAGGGCCATTCTGAAAGTCGGAAAGGGAGTGTTGGTGAGGAGGTGAAGTCCAAGCCCTTGTGTTTGAAGCAGCAGCCTCTGTGAGAGCCAGACCTAGAATTACTGTGCGATTCAGAGTTCCACTCCTAGGTGTATGCCGAAGAAACAGCTCTGTGTGAAGATCTAATGGCCAGCGCTGTTCCCAACAGCTGAAGAGAAGCAGTGTCCAGTAGCAGGTAAAGGATCAGTACATGGCCCACCTGTACAGTGGCATATCAGCATGGTGGACCCACAGGACACAGAGTGAAAGGAGCCAGACCCAGGAGGCAGGTATTGTGTGCTGCTGCTGGCTGAGAGGCCTAGAAACTCTACCTCAAAATAAAAAGGGCTGGGGATGTAGCTTATAGCAGAGCACCCTGGGTTCAGTCCTCAGTACCACAGAACACATATACAGAAACTTAGTCTTTCATGTTAATACTCAATTTTTTTCATCAAAAACGTGACTGAACACTCTAATTTATTAACTCCTGTTTAAATCAAAGTCAGATTTGTGTATTAATATTTATTGTATTTTCGCCTTCATTAAAAGCAGTGCTTAAGGGGCTGAGCTGTGGCTCAGTGGCAGAGCGCTTGCCGGGCACGTGTGAGGCCCTGGGTGCCATCCTTAGCACCACTTAGAAATAAACAAAGTAACGATATGGTGTTCATGTGTAATTAGAAAATATTTTTTTTTTTAAAAAAGCAATGCTTTACTGAGCATTTTCAGACTAAATGTTTGCATGAGTTTGATTTTTGTGTGTGTGTGGAATTACTGTTTCAGAGTATATGAACATTTTAAATGCTTTTTTATACGTATATCTAAATTGTTTCAGGAGTGTTCAGGCACACCTTATCCATGCTGTTAATTATAACAAACGTGTTTTTTTAAACTATTTTAATTTGCTTTTGTTAAAGTCAACATTTTTTAAGTGTAGTTATCACGTCATAAATATTTTTTTTAAGTTTTTATTTAGTCCATTGGTTTTATTGATTTTTTTTTTTTTTTTGAGATGTTGGATGGCCTTGGTGTTCTTGAGTGAGTAAGTGCTTTCTGTGGTGATGGCAGGGCACTCTACATCTTCCCCATCTTATGCCAAGAGTCACTTCCTACCCTCCTCTTGGGGAACTGGCACCCAAGCAGACACCCTAACTGAGGACCCGGGAGGCAGGGGTTCTATGCCTGACCTAGAGCACCTGGAGCCCACAGGTGGGCGTTGGAGGAGCTGCCACTGAGCAGGTGTCTGAAGTCAGCAGCACCTGTGAGCCTCATCAAAATTTGAGTACAGCAGAAGAAAGGGAGAGGGTCTCAGCAGCAGATAGTGTGCAGAAGGGAGAGTAGACTACTGTGTGACAGGAAGGAGAACCTAGCAGGAAACAGTATGTGGAAGAAAGATGGTCACAGATTTCCCAAGTTGGAGAAGAATGGCAGTCCACGGATGCAAATCCCAAGCAAGGTAAATAAATACAAAGAACATCTAAGTATACATACTAAAACTGTTGGAGCCAAAATAGAGAAAACCCTACAAGTGCGAGAGAAAAACTGCACATCATAGGTAGAGAACACCACTGTGAAATGCTGCTGGCTTCTTGTCTGAAATGATGGGGCCCAGGTGGAAGGATATTTCCATTGTGTTGAAAGAGAACAACCGAGAAGAGGAGGTCAGCTCAGAGCACTTGCCCAGTGGAAGGGGGAATGAGGTGAAGCCCATGCAGGCAAGCAGAGAAGGCAGGGCCCGCCCACAGGGTCTCCTGCAAAGGGTACTGTGTCCAGAAGGAAAGCAGAAGAAGGAAGGTGTTGAAAGTTCTTCTTTCTTTAAGTTTCTCAAATGAGAAGAGACCATTTAAAGCAATAACTAAAGGCTGGCAGGGTGTCCACACCTGCAATCCAGGCAACTTGGGAGACTGAAGTAGGAGGTCTCAAGTTAGCGAGGCCCTTAGCTCAATGGAAACCATGATTCTGTCTCCAGTACCAAAAAAAAGCTGTGGTAACCAAGGTGGAGCTTATGCACATCCCAAAGAAGGAGTGTGACAGCAGGAGTACAGAGAGCGGGGGTTGTGAAGTTACTGTACTCGGGAGAGACTGTTGATTTAAGAAGACTAACAGAGGGGGAAAAGTATTAAGAAGCATAGCTTTATGGGGAAATAAATAGTAGAGGAAGTAAAATGGAATACTAAAAATTTTTATTTATTCAACTAAAACACAGGGTATGTGGAATGACGACAGGTGGGTAAATAGAAACAAAACAGCAGCATGTGGATTAGAACCTGCCAGGTCCACGCTCACAGATGCCCACTGAGCTCTCCATGCAAAGGTGTAGATCCAGCTGGACAGACGAAGAGGAGCCCGTGTGTCCTGTACTGTAATGTGAAGTCAATTATGACTTGTGGAGGGTGTGACACAGGGCAGATAGCTTGAGGATCCGGTGTAAAAGACGAAGATGTGGGAGTCTTTAAAAGTAACAGGGAAGTGCTCACTTCAGCAGCACATATACTAAAATTGGAACAATACAGAGAAGATTAGCATGACCCCTGTGCAAGGATGACACACAAATTCGTGAAGTGTTGCATATTTTTATATAAATAAAAAATTTACATAAAAAATAATAGGGAAGACTGTGATTCCAGGATAAAGTGTAACTTTGATGAATAAGATGAAAGAAAATAACCCAAAAGAAAACACTGCAAAGACCGTAGGCAGGCCACCCACAAAATGAACACTGATAAATGGGTGAAGACAATGTGGTACATATATGCTGTGGAATATTACTGCATTTAAAACAATGACTATGACATTTGCTGGTAAATGGATGGACCTGCCAGTCCCCCCAAAAACCAAAGGTTGAATGTTCTGTCTGATATGCAGATGCTAACACGACAAGGGGGGAGGGGAAAGAATAGAAGTTCAGTGGATTAGACAAAGGGAAATAAAGGGAAGGGTGTGGGGAGGGAGGAGGGAAAGACAGTGGAATGAATCCAGCATGACTTTCCTGTGTACATACATGAATCCACCATAGTGAATTTCCACATCATGGACATCCACAGGAATGGAATCCTAATTAGAATAAGGCACACTTCATGTTTGTGTACATATGTCAGAATAGACTCTACTGTCATATGTAACTAAAAAGAACAAATAAAAATTCATGCAAATTCATATTTAAAAAATGAACACTGGGCATGGGAAGAGTGCTCAGCCTTAATAAAAAGTGACTGAGACCCCACTTCTCATGATCATTGTAGAAAACCTAAGGCATCCAGAGCACCTGGCCAGGGGCAAACATCTGCACATTCATGGCAGGGGCTTAGAGGTCTCTCCTGGGAAGGTTGAAGCCCAGCAGTCCCCGATGGCCACCCTCACTTGTGAGCATGCACAGTATTCACAGGTCAGACAACGGTCCCTTGGCTAGGAATGAAGCCTAGACCAGGTTGTGCCCACTCTTGTTCTTGGACTGGGGTGGGTGGCTAGCAGCTCCACCTCTCCAGGGCTTTCGGGAGCCATGCCTGTGGGAGGGTCTAGGACCAGTTTTGGCTCCTCTTGTTTGCTCAGACCTCCAGAGCAGGCTCTGAGCATCGCACTGCCAGCTGGGGTCCTTTCAGTCCCAGGGTGAGATAGTTTTATGGCAGCTAAAAGCGGGGAATCAGCATGAAATATTACCTATTATTATATAATATTACCTATTACATCAGAAACATAATCTTGAACTAAACAGGAGTTAGAGAAGGACCTACAACATGTTAGACTCCATTTTAGAACGTGTGTGAACATATCTATCATGAAAGTATCAAGAGATACATCAGAAGAATAAATAATTCAAGAGCGTGGTTACCTTTAGGGGATGAAGATGGGACGGGCACTGTGGGGTGTTCCCTTGGATGGGCTTGGCGTGAGCGTCTCTTTCAGTGTGGAGATGTCACGGTAAGCTGCTCTGAACTGAGAGGCTGACAGCCTTTCTCTGCCTGAGGGCCTCTTTTTGCCACCTTTACATCATTCCCATGTGGTTTGCTTGATTCAGAGATCCTCAGTTTCTGCCCTCTGCCCTCTGAGACCTCCTCTCACCCCTTCAGGGTCCCTGTCCCTTATCTCCCTGGGACAGGGGTTGCACACCCTGAGGCTCCTCTCTTGGCTTACATGTTCATCTGCCAGGGCAGCAGTTTCCCCACCGTCCCTACCAACTTGTAGCCCTCTTTCAGTGCCTGTCCTGAGCACTAATGATGTGGGAGTCAGGCATGGGGCTGCTCTTAAGAAAGATGGTATCCTGATTCATATCAGTATGTTGGATGATACCTGATAAAATCCAGGGTCTAGACTGTGAGGTAGAAAAGCAGAGAAAAGTAATTCAGAGACAGGTCAGTGCAGAGCTGTGGTGGGGAGTACTGACACAGGCCTATGCTAGCAGTGGCAGGACTGCGTGTGTGGTCCTGTGGTCCCTGCACAAGGGTGCACTCTGGGTGGTGGGCACACTCCAGTGCCCTCCAGCCCAGCTGTCACCACAAGCAAGCTAGATAGACCTTTTGGGTCATCCAGGGACTTCTGGGGTCTGTCCTGACTAGTGTGGTCTGCGTAGTGTCCTTGAGGACACAGCTGAAAGCTGACGAGGTATGCCTAGCAGCCAGGGAACATAGGCCCAGCAAGGTGACAGGGCTGCTTTCCCACACTGTGTTGTTTTAAACCCCAACACCATCGTTAACTTGCTGTTTTCAATGTGCCGTGTGACAGAGGGCCCAGAGTGCACTGCTGTGGGTGGAGCAGGTCCCAGGGTCATATTAGAACTGTTCCAAGCAGGACTTGCATTGCACGCTGGCCCTGACGGGAAGCCTGGGGGTGTCCCTCAGCCATCCAGTCCCGGGTGGGTAGGAGGAGTGTGTGGGCCTCGTGGTGGTACGCCTGCTAGTGTGTGTGGTGGAGGCTGCTACCACCTGAAGTGTCAGCTGTCGAGGGGCAGGGAGCTTAGAGCTCAGCTGTGGCCTGGGGCAGGATGGCACCTCCTTTGTATGGTAGCAGGAGTCTCTGGCCCTGTACAGAGTGCCAAGGCAGGAGGGTGGTATCTTTGAACTGAATGGCATTTGTGTTGCAGGATGCAGAAGGCTCCACATGTTTGCATTTGGCTGCCAAGAAGGGGCACTACGACGTGGTTCAGTACCTGCTCTCCAATGGACAGATGGACGTCAACTGCCAGGTAGAGCCACATCCCTGTCCCGTGGTGCATTACCCCACTGGCAGACAGGGTCTGTCCACAGCGGCCCCTTCACAAGGCCCCCAATCCCTGAAAGGCCTTGGGCCTCCCCCTGTAGCCTGCTCTAGATCTCATTGCTGGAATGAGGCGTCCCAGCAGTTCCTGCCTGGAATGGCACCCACCTCCCCCAGGGCTCCCGCCTTCCCTCAGCCGGGTCTCACTGTCCACTAAGCTGGCTCCCATTGTCAGAGCCACAGGATGCTATTGTGCTACATAGTGACCTCTGGTCATTCCTGGGCACACAGTGGATGTCTGCAGGTATTCATCAGGCCAGAGAGTGCCCTTAAAAAGGCTGGCTTCCAGGCGGCTCATTATTCTGGTCTCCCAGCTCTTGAGTGAGTCTTTGTCTCCCTCAGAAGGCTGTGTCCTGGCCCCTCAGTCCAGGCCCTGCCTCCCCACCCTGTGGTACAGACCTGATTCCAGTTTTATCTTGACTAGTTCCCTCTCTGCTCTGTCCAGAGCATCACCGTCTGCTGGGTTTTATTGTTGCCTGACCCATGCCCTTATTCATGAGGTTGGGCTGCTGTGTGCCCACCCTACCCCTTCCACCAGGGCTGGTTGCCCCTAAGGTGGCCTTTCTGGGCACTGCCAGGTGCCCAGGGCCTGGCAATGCAATAGTCGGCAGTTGGGGAGGGTGTGCTGGAGCCTTGGGTCTTCTACTTGGAGCTGGCCATACAGTGCTCAGGCCCTGGAAAGCACCTTTTCAGATTTGGATGAAGCAACCCAGGAATAGTAGGTCAGCTCACACAGTCTGTGTCGATCCCGAGACCTTTATGCCCTGGTGTCCATCTTTTGGCCTATCTCCTTGAAATTGCCCCCAAGGTCATGAGGACTAAGGGAAGGCCTTGCTGCTCACACTTCCACCAGTCTTCCTGTGTGTAGTGAGCCCTGGGTCTAGCTGGACTCGCCATTTTTAGTCTCTTTTTATGCTGCCTAGATCAGGTTGTGCCCACTCTTGTTCTTGGACTGGGGTGGGCGGCCAGCAGCTCCGCCTCTCCAGGGCTTTCGGGAGCCATGCCTGTGGGAGGGTCTAGGACCAGTTTTGGCTCCTCTTGCACGCTCAGACCTCCAGAGCAGGCTCTGAGCATCGCACTGCCAGCTGGGGTCCTTTCATTCCCAGGGTGAGATATATGTACCGGCTGGACGTGTCTTTGGCAGCTGTGACAGCTCTGTCTCCTTTCCTGCCCTCAGGACGATGGCGGCTGGACACCCATGATCTGGGCCACTGAGTACAAGCACGTGGAGCTTGTGAAGCTGCTGCTATCCAAGGGCTCTGACATCAATATCCGGGACAATGTAAGTCTCTCATGGCTAACAGCAAACCCCTAAGGACTCAGCCTCCTATGGTATGGGGGGTCGGGCCAATAGGATGGCTTCCTCATTCCAAAGGGTCTTTTGTATGTAAAGCTGAGCTGGCACCTGGTGGCAGCTCTAACTTCTTGGCATTAGCAGCTCATTGACCCAGCTGCTTTATGCCAGATGTAAGTAGAGCTGGAGGTCTAGATAGACGTGGCCCCTGGGCCAGATCTGTAGATTGAGAGGGTGTGTGGCTGGTGGTGCTGCTCTCTGCCGCTTGTGTCCCCTATTGGACCCAAGGAGAAGACCAAGGAAATGTCCGTCAGGACTGGACCTTGTCCAAGGGCCAGGGTAACTGCTGGCTCTGCCTGTAGTTGCTTCCTTAGAAGAGAAAAAAAAGTGAATAGACAATGTTTTGAGACACTGCATTGATGGTTAGTTTTGTGGCACTAGTTTATTTTCCCCCAAAATTAGGGTCTGGAGTCAGGTAGGTGGATTCCCCTGTTCTGGAGAAGCCTAACCACAGATGCCTGATTGATTTAGAAGAGAGTTTTCTGAGAGGTCTGTAGGGACCTTAGAAGAGGGGATGGAGGAGGGGCAGGCTTATGTACCCGCATGATGGCAGGTGGGGTGAAAACAGAAGAGACTCTGCTGCTTGCTGGAACCCGACCAGCCACAGTGAGAAGTCCAGCGCAGGTAAGCTTAGGCTGGGAACTAAGAAATGAGGGGTGCTGCTGCTGGCCACACTCATGCTCTCAGTGACCTGGCTCATGTGCCAGGACCTGAGCATCACAGGGGACTTACAGTCTCTACACTGTTTGCATCTGGAACCCTGGATGCAAACAGTTTCTCTTCCCACCTGGAAATAAGGGTCCTGTTCAGGTGCCCAGGCCTCTTCTGTGGCCTGGCCTGCAGCCTCCATGGCACTTCTACCTTTTGTATCTGAGCCTGCCTGCTCACCTTCACAGGAGGATGGACAAGGGGTTTGGATGAGGAGAGGAGGGAGCAAGAAAATCTGGGGCCAGCAGAGCTGTGGTCTCCTACTGCATTGCCTCTTTGCCATGGGCATGGTGCTGAAGGTTCAGGCCATGGTCAGTTAGCCATTGGTGGGGGCCGGGTGCAGCACATGGGAAAAGTATGTGGTGGAACAAAATATTCCCCTTGTGGCCAATAAGAGGAAGGGCTCTCTCTCTTTTTTTTTTATTAGTTGTTCAAAACATTACAAAGCTCTTGACATATCATATTTCATACATTTGATTGAAGCGGATTATGAACTCTCATTTTTACCCTATATACATAATGCAGATTCACATCGGTTACACATCCACTTTTTTACCTACTGCCATACTAGTGTATGTTGTATTCTGCTGCCTTTCCTAACCTCTACTATCCCCCCTCCCCTCCCCTTCCCTCCCCTCCCATCCCC